TTTCAGTTGCATCTTACTACTGTATCATCCAGTTAATTTTGAGTAATGATAAAATTTGATTGCTTGACATGATTATAAAAAGCAGTCAAAATAGGCTTTATGTGGATTTGCATGTGTGTCAGGCATAACCAACTGAGCCTTCACATTTCAGCTGTTTCCCTTGAACAGAAAGTTACTTGCCAGTTACACAATTTTTTTCTGGTATGCTGTCCCATATCCATTCAGTCCTTTAGTGTGTGCACTTCTGAGACTTGAGATTTTACCTCCACAAAATCTGAGTGTGCCAGTACCTCTGATTGTCTCACCCATGGAAAAAGAGGAGGGTTAGGACAGATGGCACTCAGCTCCTGACACCTCCTCTTACTTGGAGAACCACTTTCTCCAAGGAAATTGGAGTAGATACTCCATGCACATCTGAACAAGCAGTTGGAACTCCAGCCACAAGCAACTTCATTTTTAAGAGCTTGTGCCTTTGGGTGTTGTTTACTGGTAATTCCAGCAGTGTACTGCATAACAACCAGCATGGCCAGGGCTGGCTCTGGAAACTTCTTAGTGGATGGGAGCTTGCTTCTGTTCTTTGGAGTGTGGATTGTTCCTGGATCACTTTGTGGTGGCTCAGGGCTCTCTATTGGTCACCAGAGCACTGTGCTGCTGGAGGGAGGTTCAGGATGTTAAGGCAGACTGGTGGGATGTACTTTGGTCATGATAGCAATGGTCCATTCTCACAAGTTCTTTCTGTTTTAGTTGATCTACCTAACTTCTATGGAAATAAGTTTAACCTTGCTGAAATTTAGTTGATGTGTTTCCTTACTAGGGTTGATGCTTTTTATTGCTGCATCTTGTCATCTCATCTTGCTGTAAAGTTGTACTTGTTACTTGGGATGAGCTGTTGGGGCAAAATAGCATAGCATTTTTGGTCTGGATAAAAATCTAAGCAAACATGAATAAGTTATTATTATGATGCCTGGGTTGTCATTTACTCATAGTAAATTTAAAACAGGTAAAATGAAAACCTGAAATGCCATGTTGCTACAGGTAAGTGCATGTACTTGAGATAATTTCCTACTTTGGTTTTAATATTATGCTATTGCATAATCCTATGGCAGCAACTCCAAAAGAAATACAAAGATCTTAAAATTTTATGGGGGAAAAATCAAATGGTTGTAAAACCTGTTGTAGTACTCTCGACTTTGCCCTTTATATGAATTAGATCCCAGTTTTATGAAACGTTTGTATTGAGTGATGATATAAACAAAGTGTCACTGTTACCAAAGTCCATTCTCTACTGAGACTTTTTGTTAAATCAAAATTCCCAGTCCAGGAATACCTGGCTGTCAGCCTAGATACCTCAGATGCATGTCATGTGGCTTCTTAGGATTTTAGGTTCAGTGTGACAAATATTAAGAAGACTGAGAAACTTATTTCAGGCTGAAATCTTTAAGCAGACTTGCACTGATTTTAAATTTTATTCTGAGTATCAGTATAATCTGAAGGTCACTTTTGTGCTGTTTTGTAGGATTTGGAGTGGTAATTTTGGTTTCTATTAACTTCCTCATTTCACATAACACACTCCATAGACTTTTTCTGCAGTGCAGGCTTTTTAAAACAAGCTTTGACATAGTTTAAAACTCCCTGTGTATGTATGTATGTTCATAATACATCTGTACGTGCGTCACTGCTCTCAACAACTGTTTCAGTTGGTCAGCAGATGTTGAATTTGGTTTCATTGTGGTAATGCTTATGGGGATGCATGCAGCCTTTTAATAAAAAGTAAAGAAAAAGCTCACCTGATGATGGTTTTTAAAACAAAATTCCATGGGTGTATTCTGAGGCTAAAATACAATTTAAAAATTCTTCAAATAAGCTGATATAAGGGAAGTTTTGGTATGCAGAGTAACTTCTGCAAGAAAAAACTAGATCTGTCTTTCCTTTTGCAGCTAAAGATCTAATTGTTTGTGGTTTGGAGTTTTTCCTTTATTTTTATGTTCCTCTCCTTTTCACTGTGGAGAAGCTGCATTCTTGACTTGGCATTTTTGTAGTAGCTGAGTTTTATTGACTAGACTCAGTTAGTTATATGCCAGACTAAGTGCTGTTCAGATAGGCTGTGTTTAGTATAGAGGCTGAAGTGGACAATAGCAAAACAAACCAAACAAAAAGAAGGCATCTAAATCCATGAAGTTCAAGTACACTTTGCTGTCAAAAGATGCAGTAGTGCAAGTATTCATGTTGTGCCATAACAAACAATTTGGGTGACTGATACTGTTTCAGCTTGTTTAAGTTGGCTCTAAGGTGGGTCAGTTTATCTAGTTTACAAAATACTTGGGACAGAACCAACAAGGTAGGGAAAGTGGTTATGAGAATGAAGAGAGGAGGGCAGGGCATTTTCCAGGGCAGAGTTCATCACTGGTGCTAGCTAAATTTTTTGGGAAATGCAACATGGGTTATATAATATTATCTTGTGAAATTTAGTGCTGTATTAAAAAATAAATGTACTTTCAGTTGATACCTGAGGTTAAGGACAGTACTGGAACTAAAGCTGTTATGGGTTTTGAGCCCTGGGGCCCAATACACTCTATGAACTACAAAACGTTTTAATTCAAGATGCAAAATACTCCTAAGAAAGAAGCCTGCACACACATGACCTAGAGGTGCATGGAAGTTATGTATTCTAAATTTAGTGAGTGAATTCGTTCTGCACGATACTCACTTGGGCTTAACGTGTAATAATGTTATTGTGGTAAGCCTCCAAATAAAATAATTTTATCTATTGTGTATTTTAGAATCTTTTATGACGTTCCTTTTTGAGTTTATTTAAATCCTGGTTTGCAAATTCAAACATTGGCTGCTAATGGTATTGAACAGTTGTATATATTCCTTGATTGTGTTCCTTTCATGTCTTGGCATGTATTTATTTCCAAGTGGAAGGTATCAACTTCAAACCTGGGACTTGGTTCTGAATATTGAGTGCTTACTTATAAAAAAAAAAGAAAAACCCAACACTTCTTTTTTCTTCTCTCTTTTACTTAGCTCCTGGGCTCCTTCTGTCTTGGAAAGAACTGAAAACTATTAGTAGATATCTAATAGACTGTTATCACACCGTAGCTGAATACAGAAAAGTGGAATAACAATGGCATTATTCCAGGACTCAAGTCCAAAATGAACCAAGTCCAATTTTAGGTGAGAAAAGGGAAATTGTTAGGGTATCTGCTCAGGTTGCTAGCCTTTACCTGTGAGTAAGTTAGCATTTAAACTGAAAGGTGACTTTTACCTTCACAAAGTTTGTCCTTGGGTGTAACTAATTCCATCTAGAAATTTATACCGCTTTTAAGCAACATATTCTTGGTGCATATAGAAATGATTTGGAGTGTCACTGTTTTAATGAATTTTTTTTTCTAAGTGTTTTTTCTTAAGTCTGTGAAGTTTTTCAGAAATGAAGTAGAGATCCACACCATATGGATTCAGTAATCTTTGAATAGCTTATTTCTGCACAAGGGAGAAAATGAGTGCATGCAATGGCTAACACTGAACTGATGCAACAGCTTGTGTTTGCTGAGAAGATTTACTGGTATTTGCAGGTGTGATGTTGCCTATTTTGATTGTGCTCTGGTTCTATCTTCATCCTGAGTAGGCTTCTGTTCATGTAGCAGGGTATTTTATCTTTATTTCCTGATGTGAAGCAAGCTGAATCTGCATGGAGAGAAGTCCAGGGTTGCATGCAGTTGAGATGACCTGGCTGGCTGGCTAGGGAGGGCAGGCATGGGAGCTCCCTTGGCTCATTTACAAGCCTCTAGGTTGGCTCAAGTTGGCTTGAAAGCTGCTGTGGTGGTTTTATGGTTGTGTCTCCTGCCCTAGCAGAATTCCACTGGTGCTCATCAGGCTGCAGCTATGTGAGGCCACCCTGGGATGTGCACAGCCAGAGTAGCAATTCTGCCTGATAACCACATCTGTAAAGCCAGGTTTTCAAACTCTTCCCTCCTCTTCCTCCTCATGTACCCAGCCCTCAAATCCTGGAGCACTTGTTCCCTCACCCCTGTGCCTACAGCAATTTGCAGCCTTTCTCTTCCTGGCCTTTCACTTTCTGCTCCCCAGGATCCGCACTTTGAAACATGTACTTGCATGTCACTTTCTTGGCCAATTCAACATGCCAGAGACTACCAAGAAAAAAAAAAATTCAGAATAATATAGCAAATCTATATGTGTTCACAATATTCAAGGGAATCTAAAAGATTCTTAGCATAGACTTTACCTTTCTATTATTCTTTATCTTCATGTTTGTGTTTTGGAAGGGGACACAAGTGTTCAGTTGACAGCGGTTCTTCATGTGGTAACTTTCATTTTTCAGTATTAATATTTTAACACTGCTAATATTGGAATAAATGAGAATATCTTTGTCATATGTTAGCAATGAGTCCTTGTTCAATTCACCTCAGAACTGATTTCTAAGATGTTTTCAAGTGCCAAAAAAAACATTTAATGAATTCTTAATTGCCTTATTTTTACCATTTTAAATGTATTTCTAGGTCTTCTCAATTCTAAATTTGAAAAGCAATACTGAATGAGTACTATGTAAATGTAATGAATAAAAATGCAGCTGAAATAAGTCATGATGGTATAAACTCCAACAGGACTGGCTTATTTAGCTTTCTCAATCAGTATAATTCAGTTTGGGATTTTTTAACCGTATGGGAATAGGTATAATGATGTATGAAAAGTCTTTCTTGGTATAGTCAAAGTAGAATACCTTAGCTAAAAGTTTGATAGGCTGTTCCATGTTGCAATTTATCATAGGATTTGTGAATGGTTTGGGAAATTACAGGTTATTGTGGGGGAAAAAAAGTATTTCTGATCTTGGTTTAATCATTGAAATAAAAGGGTATCTTGGAAGTGTTTTGAGGTTTTCTGAAAATACTGTGTGATGGAAGCTGAGTTTATTTTATATAAATCATGTAACATTTAGTGACAAATAATGAAGTTACCTTTTTGGTGTTTTTGTTCTTCAGAAATGGAGGAACAGAATGCTGGACCTGGGATTGAAGATTTATAAAGGATTATGGGATTGTACATTGAAGAGCCAGCAGGCGGGATGCCTGAGTGACTGAAGAAAATGGGTGCTAATGCATCTAACTACCCTCACTCGTGTTCCCCAAGGGTAGGGGGAAATTCACAGGCACAACAGACATTCATAGGTAACTCTTTTTTGTTATCTTGTCACTTACATGAATAACTTGGTGGATTGTCTATGTGCTGGATTTGATTTGCTTGCAGAAATGTTATGGAGGGCTGCTATTTTCTAGGTCACCAGTTTGAATCCATTCAAGCTCAATCGTGCATGAAATTCAGTACTGTCCATCTGTTTGGCCTGTGTATGCAATAAGTTGATCTGCCTTTTGCCAGTAAGCAGTTGCCAGATTATTTAAATAAACTAAGTGGAGTTTTTTATAATTAAACCATGCATGCTAGTTTTCCTGGTTCAAGAGCAGTTGCTTTCTGTTAATACTCATACTGTTTTCTACTCTTCCTCAGAATTTCTGTCAAACTGTGTCAGAGCATGTAAAACCCTTGATCATCAGTGTTCATTGTAATATTTACATTGTGTCCAAGTGAACTACCTCATTATTGCTAGAAGGGATATCTCTGGTAATAAACCTGTAATATTAACAAGCAGGCTTCTCTTCTTTTTCCTGTTTCTGCAGAAGGGAAAGTGGGTGCTTACTGTCTTAACAGTGTTACTTACAAGCCAGGACCTTGCTTAGCTGGAGACATGTGTTGAAGTGCCCTTAAGAAAGTATTTTCTCATCCTAGTTGTAAGTGGGGCAGGCATTACCTTTATGTGTTTTTCAGTCTAGTACAAAGAGACCTCAGTGTAGATCTAAGTACTGTCACACTATAAATAATAAACAGCTATGTTATGAATCTGAACGAAGGCAGTCTCTGAGAAGATAAATATTCCTTAAAAAACACCCAACCCTGACAGCCTGAAAAATGATCTTAGTGGTAAATAACATCAATAGTTTATAAATGCTTTTCTCCTTTATGCTTCAGCTTGCAACACTGCATAAGTAGTTATTGATATTCAGTGTTGCTTCTCTTTTTAATCACCGTTGAAAGCAGAGTGACATTCTTAGCAGAGGAAAAATTGACTCACTTTGTAAATTTTCTCTTTTTTCTCAGCTTTCATGGCATTCCTAGCTCTGAGGTCTCATTTGAGGACAGACCACAAACTGTTACATTTAAGGATGTGTGTGCTGTCACAGCATGTCAAGGAAGAACTTTTAGTCCTAACATCATGGATATTCATGTTGTAAAGTTCCCCTCAAGGGTTTATATATTTTCAGGGTATCATAAAAGATTTCCTGCAGTCTGCATATATGCTTTCTAAAATGTGGCTAAAATGCTTTTCTTACGTGTCTTGGTGTTTTTTTAATCTGTCCCTATATTGAGTGAAGAAAAACCCTTAGAGGCCTTGAAACAGGCAGATTTGCAAGCTGAAACACCTTTTGAGCAGATTTGAAGATATTTCCAAAGGCTACATTAAATTCCCAAGAAACTTTCTACATGATATGTGGAAGGTTTAGTTGATGCTCTTCATTATTAAACTCAAAATAGAAACCCATAATGTAGTATGTCTCAAGAAACTTACTGACACTCCTCCTCCCTTACCTGTAGGAAATTGTGGCTGAGACTCTTTTTGAGGAAAGCCTAAAAGTGTGTGATTGTCTCATCTTAGGGAAGGCAGATGAGTGTTCTGGGTAAAATTCTTGCTGCAAATATCCTGATCTTATGGGGTTCCATGAATGTGCTATTTACATCTCTTATTCATGGCATTTGGCTCTTTCTCATTTTGATTTTTGTTTACATGATTGGTTTTTGTAGCTGTCTCAGTAGAAAATAGGTGTATCCTAAAATTGATAGCTGAGATTTTCATCACTTGCCAGAAAAATAATGTTTTAATGTTATAGCAGCCTTTACATGTTTGGGGTTTCGCTGTTGTGAGGTTTTATTTGTTTGGTGGGAGGGTGGGGGGTGTGTTTGTTTTTATCGTATTGTGGGGTTTTTTTATGTAGAAGGCATTAGATCTATTTACTGCCCTAAAGGAGAACTAGGGGATGGAGTTATAATAGCTGTATAATATGTATTAGTTGTCTTATTCCTGGAAACTGGATTTAGGCCTGTGGGTTTGTTTTGGACATGCTACTTTACCATTAAAGCACTGCACCATGTTTCATGCTAAATGTAGGATGGATGCTGAAGTCTGAGAACTGATATGGCAAAGGAGTTTCATAGTGTAAACGCCTATTGTTAGTTGACTTCATCCTAGTTTGCTTATAGTTTGTGAAGAGGCGATAAATCAGTAAAAATAGTGTAGTGCACTTACTGGAAAATAATATTTTAGTTTCAGCAAAAGCTTAATTTGTAATCTTGCTGTTTTGTCTGCAGCATTCAGGAGGAGGATTTCACACCATTTCCTAGGGTGGTACATCTGTTCAAGATGTTTGCTTTTCTAAATAGAACTCTATAATTAGATATTAAAATGTGTGGGCATGTAAAAGACTAAACAGATCCCATTTTTCATTGTCAAGTTCCCAAGCAGCTTCCCTTGGCAGTCAGCTGTTTCCGTAAATATTTGTCTGTCCCAAGCTGGTTATGGTCTAGGGGCATGAAGCAGCAATTGCTTCTGAGCAGCATTTGATAGATTGGTACCTTTTAGTATAGTACTGAGTAATAATTTATTTTTTTCCTACTTTTAATGCTGCTACCTTATGAAGGAATACAGGCAGCCCAAAAACATTCTCTTCCAGATTCTTTCTTTGAGGGATATGGAGCCACCAGTTGTTGTGAACCCAGAGAAGCTATGATGGTGCATCTCTGTTTCTTACAAAAAGCAGTCGTGTGGTGGTGCTTTTGTAGCAGTGCTCTATCTGTTTCTAAGGGTTAATAGCACTGTTTGCAGTAAATGAAAAGTTAAATCTTGTAAGTAGCTCAGAGTACACAAAGATTTGAATGGCGTTTTAGTATTTTGTGGTGATTCATGTGGAAGTAATACCTCACAGCAGCCTTTAGGGAAGAAGGAAATTGAGACTTGCGGTGTCCTAGTTTTTCTTTAGTGGAATGTTAGAGAATGTTCTGCACTCAAATTTGCCATTAGAATCCAATGTACTTCAAATAGAAATGAGCTGGTATGTTCTCTGGAAAGAGAATCTGTCATCATAGAGTGACCAAAGTGTAGTTATACTTCTATTGTGAAATGTATCTCTTTAAATTAAGGGGAAATTCTATCCTTGTCTCTATCAGCAGGAGGCTGAATCTCTCCTTTTCTATTGTCATATCTTGTATAGCGTGTGGAAGGAATTTTTATGGTGGATATTGCAGCACAACTTCTTTGTTGAAGTTGTCTTGAGTTACTCCTGTTATTTCATTTAAATTTATATTCTTTTCACTTCTTGAAATTTCAGTATGATAAATAACATGTTGCCTGATCACGCAGATTTTAAACTTGGATGAAATGCTTAGATGTCTTTTCTCAATTAAGAAAAGGTCCTTCTCAAAGTTTGTACTAATAGAAGAATCATAAAACCACTGCATTGCATGATTTGTGGGAGTTTTAATTAGCTTTAATTTCTTGAGGCTGCAACTATCTGATACTAGGTATGCATCTGTTGTTTAAGTGAGGCTTAATGCTAGGACAGAATTTGAAAACAGTTTGCAGGGGAGATTGCTAGTATTTCACTGAGATATTAGTCTTAGAAAAAGTTAATACAATTACACTTTTAATGTTACAACTGCAATATTCTCTTCCTGCTTAGATAAGTGTACCATATGCTATAGAGCCGCATCAACTGGCACTGCTTGGTTCTTAAAATTGAATATATTTTTTAAAAAACCCAAACAAGCAAAAAAAAAAAAAAACCAGACCAAAACACCCTGAAACCCAGCAAACTATGAACTCTGTAGATGCAAATAAAAGTCTTTGTTCTTAATGGCCAAAAAAGGCTCTGGTCAGGTTTTCAGTTGTTAAATTATCTGATGTGAGGAGAAGGAATAACTTGCGGAATCATTGATGGATTATTTAGGTGTTATGGACCTTCCTTTTAAATTTAAAGAATAAATATGTTCAATTTTCTTTTTTGCCTTTAGGGACATCATCCTACTCTCATCAAGGTTTTGGCTGTGAATCAAAGCTCTATAGCCTTGACCATGGCCATGACAAACCTCAAGACAAGAAGAAGAAAACCTCTGGCCTTGCCACCCTCAAAAAGAAGTTCATTAAGCGTCGGAAATCGAGCCGATCTGCTGACCATGCCAAGCAGATGCGTGAGCTCCTCTCAGGCTGGGATGTCAGAGATGTTAATGCGTTAGTAGAAGAATACGAAGGAACATCAGCCTTAAAGGAACTTTATCTACAAGCTAATTTGGCAAGACCGGAAGCCAGGACGCTACAAAAAGACATGGCTGAACTTTATCAATACAAATATTGTACTGATGTAGACTTAATATTTCAAGAAACTTGTTTTCCTGTGCATCGTGCAATATTGGCGGCAAGATGTCCATTTTTTAAGACGCTGCTTTCTTCCTCACCAGAGTACGGGGCAGAAATAATAATGGATATTAACACAGCTGGCATAGATATGCCTATGTTTTCTGCTTTGTTACACTACCTTTATACGGGCGAGTTTGGAATGGAGGATTCGAGATTCCAAAATGTTGATATTCTTGTGCAGCTTAGTGAAGAATTTGGAACACCAAATTCCTTGGATGTTGACATGCGCGCACTGTTTGATTATATGTGCTACTATGATGTGGTTCTTAGCTTTTCATCCAACTCTGACTTGGTTGAAACTTTTGGTGGAAGTCAGAACTGTCTAGATGAAGAGCTCAGAGCTCACAAAGCCATTATTTCATCACGATCTCCCTTTTTCCGTCACTTGCTGCAGAGAAGGATACGAACCGGTGAAGAAATCACAGACCGAACTCTACGGACTCCAACTAGAATTATATTGGATGAATCTATCATACCAAAAAAATATGCTAAAGTCATTTTGAACTGTATGTATACAGATGTGGTAGACCTCTCCGTTTTGCACTCCAGTCCTTCGGTGGGCAGTTTAAGTGAAGTTCAGGCTCTTGTAGCAGGAAAACTAAACATGACTAGGGCTGAAGAAGCCATGGAGCTTTATCACATAGCACTGTTCTTGGAGTTTAACATGCTTGCACAAGGTATGTAATACTGTCCTCACTGTAGAATAATATGACCTTATTATAACAAGTTTTAGCAATTTTGCAGTGTAGAGATGCTTGTTGTTAGCTGTCAGTGGCTGACAGTTCCTTTAGAAATTGAATTTGTTTTCTGTCTGTAGGTTGTCAATAATGCATCTATTTTCTAGGGACAGAAGCAATACCATGCAAAAGATCTAGTTGTGTGGTGCATAGTTGTTGAAGCATGTTAATTTTATCAAGTATGTATAACTGGTTTTGATATTTCTGATGCTTATCTCCTTTCTGTGATCCATTTTCTATATGTAAACTACAGAGAGATCCTTGCTGAGAGGAGGAAATATTTAGACTTGTTATTAAGTGTTCATATATGTTAACAGGGTGGTAAACTTGAACGACTATTTCTGTATTTATGTCAAAGACACCAACCGTGCAATCTTGCTGTTGGAAGGAAAACTTAAACAGCTTAATTGCAGTAGTCTTAGGTCTTTAATGTCTACCCATCTATGAACAGAACTGAAGGCAGGGTCAGTCACTATTTTCAGACATAAAGTTTAGAAAGTTTTACTACTTCTGTTATTCTTGAAGGTCATTGAAATCTTGATTACATACAACCTACAGACCTGCATTACTGCTATCTCAGATGAGGTGTCCAAGCGCTGATCAGTGAGCTAATGGTGCTTCTTGTGGTGGCAGGAGGTTTGCCCACAGTTTTGTCTGTTGCTGTTTGAGCTATTTAGTGGCCATATGATCTATAATGAAGTATGGGAATTGCTTCAGGCCTTACTGATGGGGAATAAGAATTTTACTTTTGAGCTGAGAAAGGGAAAATGGAACTCCCTGGTATATCAGGAGCATAATATGTTTAAATTAGTTTAATTTTTTTTACAAACATAACTTTTTACAGTAGGTCTGTACATCCATAACTTCTAGCTGTCAAATTAAGTTTGACAAGGTTGAAACATTATATTGTAACCTATAAAGTAGTTCTGAGCAAGATAGGAAACTTGATAAAAAGTGGGCAGGAAAGGGCAGTATAAGCACTGCAGGAAGAGGTCATATTTTTAATGAGTTCTCCTAATAGTTACATGAAACTGAGAGTGATAAGGATATGAGAAACTAATAGAGCTACTGCAGTTCATGTGGAGTTTGGCATTAGGAAACAAATTTTCAGATTGTGCTGAAATAATTGTACTGCAATAAAACTGCACAGATCAAAGGGGATGTGTTTTCTGAGACAACATGCTGCAGGATGCAATTGGGCTGTTCTTAGGCTCAGAATCATCCAGTCACAGAGCAGCCCAGGTTAGAAGGGGTCTCTAAAGATCATAGGATCCAACATATCCAAGTGAGAGAGTGAGCCTAGGTGAGATTGTCCAGCATTCTGTCCAATCATTTCTTGAAAACCACCAGTGATGGGGACTATACTGTGTCCCTGGGGAGATTGTCGTGGTGAAGTGATTGTTCTCATTGCAAAAATATTTGCTGTTGAGATGTTTTCCAGTGCAATTTTTACCTGTTGCCCCTTTGTGTGGCTTCTTGAGAGAAGAGAACCTCTGTCCTTTTTATAGCTGCCCTACAGTAGCTCAAGGTCTGGGAATACTGTGACAGGGTCCCCTGAGCCTTCTGTTCTTGAAGGAGAAGAGACATAATTTCCTTCAGTCTTTCCTCATAGGCTAAGTTCTCCAGTACTTTGATCAACATCATGGCACTCCTTCAGATCCTCTCTTCTCTATGTACATCTTTCTTATTTTTGTTGTTTCCTTCTCAGTACACCTAAAAGCTTAATGTCTCAGAAGGGGCAAGAAGTTTTATTGTAGCTGAACTATGGTATTGAGTTAATTTCTATACGATATGCACAAGCTAATAGTACTTGAGAACAACTCTGTAGATCAGCTGAAAACCAGAAAGCAGAAAGGAAACTGAGTTTAAATTAAAGAGGTGATGCAGTTTCTCAATTTTGGTGCGTGCACATGTATACAAGTACTAAAAGGATTTAATGTGGTCAGGGAATACTAGTGAGAGAATTAAATAGTGAATGAAACCCTCAGTGAGACACTGAATAATTATGCACTGTTTCATAAATGAACATGGTGCAATTCTTTTCTTCAGATTGGAAACCTAAACAACTGTGATCTGGAGGTGCTCTGATGAAGCAGTGTAAGTTATAGCAAAGCAGAAAAGCAATGACAGAGAACTTTCAAGAGAAACTGAAGTAAACTTATAGGAAAATAGCTTTTATTTTCTATGTTAGTAAATACTGAAAAATGTGGTGATATTTTATTTGGTGCAGAGTTTGTTTCTGCTCGCTTTGAGTTCACTTGGATCAGCATGTTATTAACTGGCACTCTTCAGTAATGCACTACAGAGCATTGCTGCCTTGGAATGCATATTCTATGAGTCAGTGGTAACAAGATCTCTGCTTTTTCCTGGAAGTTTTCCCCCAGTACTACCTCTAGGAGAGTAATAAGCAAGGCAGCAGCAGGAGCTGCACTGGGCTTGCACCTCAGCAGCACACTTGAGTGGCAGGAGCCCACGAGTGCAGCAGTGCAGGCTCCATCTTGGTGGCCCTCTGGATGAACTGGAGCTGTAGTGTTTTGGGGGTGGTCATAGGGAGGATGTAGAGGGATGTAGTGGCATTTTCTTCTTTCCATAGTAAATCCCTTTCTGGCCATAAAAGTAGTGAGATTGAGGGGTGGGGTTGTTGTTATGCACAGGGGAGAAATGCAGTAAAATCAGCAAGTATTGAAGTCCATTAAATTATCAAATACTAGAAAATGTAGGTTTGGCACTCCTTCAGGTATTGAAATTCTAGATGTTAACTTCATCTAATTAGGGTTTTACAAATTGGTGCTGCATTCCCTAGCTACAGGAGAAAGTAGTAAGCAGTCTGTAGATCTGTATATGCCAGTGGAATCAGAATCTAATAGTTTCATACTTAATTTGCAGAGTTCATGTTTAGGTCATTGGTACTGTGCAGACATGGAAGAACTGTTCTGGTATAATCTTATAATCAAAATTAAAAGGAAGCTTATTTGGTCAGGGAAAACCATATGCCTGCACGTGACTGATATCACTTAAAGATATGCTTTAGTCATGACTGCTGTTCTTGTTTCTTGTTAATTGTAGCATCTTGTCCTCACTTCTATGATACTTAACTTGAGGAAGTTGGGAGATATTAATTTCAGTTGTATCCATCCTGTTCCCTGATTTCGAAGCTAGTAGACTTCAGTGCTGGAAGCTGTCACTCAAACATCTGACTTCTTATGCAGAGTGATGGGGAAGAGACAGCATTGTGTAGGTGCTGGAGGCCACTGAGCAGGCAGTTCTCCTGACACCTCTTAGCATGGATCTCTGGCAGTGTTTTTCCACTCTGTGGTGCAGCAGGTGTCCAGTTTTCCCCAAGTACTGACTGATTCCATCAGCTGGTATTTGCAGTAGCTGATGTCTTAAGTTTCTTCTCTAGATTTCCACACCCTTGGCTGAAGTTTTTTGTTTCAGTTCACTCCGGCTGGCCAATTGCAAACTTGCGAAGGCTTGTCTCCCTGGTTTCATGGAAAATATTTTGGGCTTATTATGTTAAGTCTGGATTCTCTTTCCAGTTCATTTTTCTGGCTTCCACTCAGTTTTGCCTGGGTGTTTGTAACTGAGTGTCAAGTGAAATTGATGTATTTTAAAGCTTCTGATCAGCTGTTTTTATTTTCAACAGATTTTAGTTTGATTTGTCTTCAGGGACCTTTCTAAGTATCCAGATGTTGTAATTTTTCTTCTGTTTCAGCATATGATTCAGCTTTGACTATTTCCATGGAAATTTTCCCATTCCTGACACAGTGAATCCTAACACACTCCTTTTTCAGATTATTACGATTTAATAGATAGCTTCCCTATGGTGAAGATGGTGATGAGTGTGTGAAGAGTCTTTACTGTCCAAGTAAAGCAGGACAACTTTTATCTAGAATTTCCTCTGCCTTCATTTTCATTCATTTTAGCTGAGGATTGTCACTTATCTTTCAAGAGAAATTAAAATGGATCTTTCAATGAACTAATTTGACCAAATAAACTAATCAGAAAGCATGTCTGGTCAATAGAGCTGATCATACTGAAGTGTATTTGTACCTAATAGGACTGATACTGCTCTTAGGAGTGCTCTGGTGACAGTTTTTACTGTCAAAAGTGAAGCTCTTCAGGGCTCTCACAGAGGCTATGAGCATTAGAGCACTCTCCAGGAGGCTGGAGCACATCCCTTAGTAGAATGTTTCTGTGCTCTGCCTGCCTGTTTCTGCCCTCTGCTGCAGTTTTTCTGTCTTCATGCTACCTTGCTACTCTCTGTCAGCTGAACTGGTACAATTATTTTAACACATTGATTCACAAAGATTTGGTTTAATACCACTTACCCCTTGTTCTTCTGTAGTACAGTTACTAAAATGAGATCAGTTCCCTAGTCCTGTTCATCACACATTATTAAAATACTCCTCACTTCCAGTCTTACTGTACTGCCCTGCTGTTGCAGGGAAGTTTGATTTCAGGCATATTAGTTTTGTTAGATAGCTATATTACATATGTGAATCCTCTATTCCATCTTGGCCCTGTTACCCACTGTCATGAGTAGTCCCACTGAGGTGGTGGTACAGAATGTTTTGCTGTGATAGGCTTTTGGATACTGGGACCTTATTAAATAATTTTGGCTGAGAACCTTTTCTGTCACTTGATTCAAAGTAGTTTTCTAAAGTAAGACTGACAAAGAAACCCTCAGTTTCCTACTTTTTGCTTTCCTTCACTTTTATTTTAGGTGTTGAATTTACTCTTGACAAATATAAGAACTTGAAAACTTTAGGTGCTGCTGTATCCAGTAGCACAGTGTTGGACCTAGGAGCAGATGTTGCCTGACATCAGAAGTACTCTTGGTGTTAGGAGGGCTGAAATACTGAAGTGCCAGGGATCCTATGGTAGCAGTATTAAATACACATTCAAAAACTATGGTTCCTGTGATTGCCAGCATGGTCTCTCCTAATGTGACAAACTTAAAAAGCATTGAATAGCTTCTAGATTCCAGTTCAGTGTTAAGATGAATTCTTACTACTTTTTTTTTCATTGGCTAGAGCACAAGGTTAGGCAGAAAGTCTTCACTACAGAATGAGTTAAATCAAGCTAACAGTTGTGTAGTAAAAGGTTTGCTTAATGACACTTTTGCTAATTTTTGAAGCCAGTTGTCTTGTCTTCAGTGGGTCTGTCAAGTGTCCTGATCCCAAGCCACCAGCTAGAATGCTACACATGGGCTCAAGGTATTTCTCTCTGGAAGGACTGTGGGGCTGCATTTGGGAGAGAACTCAGAAGCAGACAGGGCCTGATGGTAGGAAGGCTCCATTGGCATCCAGCGAAAAGAGTGCATGGGATAGCATAATTTGTGCAAAATGTGATAGTTATCTTTCCTTTTTGTAGATTCCAGGTTGAATCTGTGAAGGACAGTAATGGTCACAGAAGCTTGTGGGACACTGCAAATGGATCTTGGGAAGGTTGTTGCTGCCTGAGTATTAAAAAATAGTATTCACAGGAAAAAATGCTCTATTTCACTGTGAAGAGCAATATTGTGGCTATTAGATGACTACTTTTTTTGCCAAGTGGCTGATTGTTAAAGCAGAAAAAACCTCTGCCAAAGAAGAAAGGAAATTGGATTCCTTCCATAGCTAGAATTGGGTTGCCCCAATTTATTTAAAATCTCAAAAAACACTTATAATTATTACCGTATGCTTACTTCAGAATAAATACTTTTCATAATCCCACACTTCTGACCCATTGCTGAAATTACTTAGGAAAAAGACTGTTTCATTTGCTAGTCATCCTTAATGAGCTTTTCACCTGATGTCATATTATTGTTAGTTGTGCAATTATTGGACTTGACAGAAGAATTGTGACTGAACTGATGCACTGTTTCTATAAATTGGTGTGGCTCAGATCTTTGGCACTGCATTTCTGATGTCTTTTCAGGGGGCAGGCATCTTTACTTCAAAAATAAATGTCAGATGAAATACTAGGAATGGCATTAATTTTGAGATAAGTCTCTGCTTTTGTAGTTAGAGTTTCCAGTGTGTGGGTTTACTTTACTGCCTTTGAAATGGAGCAGTCCTTATGTGCGATGTTTAGAGTTCAGGGGAATGCAGTTTCTGCTGAAGTCAGCTTGCATGCAAGCAGAATAATTGCATGCAAAAAATTGTGCCAGGATTTAGCAGGGGAAGGCTGAGTGCAGATGACCCTAAATAATGGTTTCAAACTATTTTGTTTCTTATTTGTGGGAGTCCAACTCCTCTCTTAAGCAAATTGCAACTAGTCACCACTTTAATTCACATGCCAGGTTTGCTGCTAACTTAACATTTTCCTTTCTTGAGCACCAAAAGGAAAGCTGAGAGAGACTCACATGACAAAGTTAAATGTAATGTCAGCCCTTTGCTGTTTGGGTAAAAATGGATCCTTAAGTGGAAAGCTTCAGACTTCATTTACTCTGTGTTTCTGACATATACTGAAGTATTTTGAGCTATTTTGATGATAAGTTGGATTTTGGATAGTTTATTTGGTTTTTGTTTGTTTGTTTAAGGCTATTTCTCAGATTGTTGACCAGAACTTTTTAAGACTTAAGATTTCATCCTTTAGGAATGTGGGGAATTCTCCCATCTAGAGGGGGCAGTTTTGCTAACTTGTACCTCAACCCACAGAGTGTATTTCAGAACAGTTTTCATCCTCTGCTCTTACCTGCACGAGTGATGACTGGAGTGATGTTCCAAGTGCCTCCAACCCATCTTTGTTGCCTGTGCCCTGCTCATTTAAGGCCAGTGCTTGCTATTCAGGTTACAGGTCACTATCTGTAATGAGGCATCTGTTCTTTCTAGCAGTAGTAATGATAATATGTAACCTCATGGACATAGGTGGCTCTGAGAAGTGCCAATACTATTTCAGTAATGGTGAAGGACAAAGCAGTTGTGTTGAAACACGACTCACCACTCAGCCCTTTGTCAGAAGCAAATGGAGAGTCTGTCTGGGGATGCACAGTGTAATGCTGCATGTGCTGCACTGATCAGAAATGTGTGTGCTTTGGGTAGCCCTTCTGTCAGTGGCTGCATTCAGTCTTCTTTTTCTCAGGTGAATCACACATATGAAAAAAAAAATCAGCCAGCTGCTTGTTGAGGAGCATTTAGTTTAAATATGAACTGGTGTAAAACGCATTACTGTTGGAGGACAGACATTACTCTTATAAATTGCTTTAGAAATTTAATAAGGATTGTGTCCAAAACTGTCTTTGTATTCAAGCATATTCCTGAAAAGCTTAGAAAATTTTATTAAATTAAAATATTAAAATTACCACATGATGGTTGTTATAGTATTGGATACAAATATGTATGTCTAATGGGACACAAATTTGTAACAGTCTCATGTTTAAACTGTTGCTTTCTACTACCTTCTTAACCCTCCTGTTTAAATTCCCATTTTAGTGACTTCTAAGTAGTAGCTCCTTTGACAGATTCCCTCCTACTTGAAGAAGCTTGTTCACTTGTTACTACCTACTCCATATCTTTCACGTTATTAGTTACAATGGAAATGGAATAAACACTGTATATTCTGTATGCTGCCCTATGTAGAAAAGTAAGATTTTTCTTTTATTTCTGTTAATTGTTGCTAGTGTGTTTCATCTGTATGCAGCCAACACCAAAATATGTAGCACCAGGAGACCTGTCTTGGTCTTGACCAGGGTTGAGATTACTGTGCTAAACACGTTTTTACTCAGCTTATTTCAAGAGCTCAGTAATGGAATACACGTCCCTAAACAACGAAGTTTAGTTTTTAGGTATCTTTGAAACTGAGAGAAAAATTATGATGTATAAGAAGTAAATTGCAGTGTGGACATGTAGCTCTGAACTGTCTGGGGACCTCTTATAGGAACAGCTGTAATTTTGTGGCTGAAGTGGGTTGAGACTGGAATGTATAATTCTGAGAATTCTTTTCTTTAAATTGCTATCTTTGTGCTAAACCAGATGTACAAATGAAGTCAACAAAGTGCTATTGGAGACTTCAAGTTATCAACGTTGAGGCGCCATCTCTCTTAACTCCCTAGTCCCAAGTACCCATGTTTTCAGCCCTCCCACAGCATGTCTTCCCTCATTTCTTCCAAATCAGCTCCATTTCCCTTCAGGAGTTTTAATTATACTCACTCTCCTTCAGAACATGTGTGCCCTGTGAAAGAGTAAATCCTAATAAAGCAGGGGGTAGGAAAAAGTGTGGCAGACTCTCCATAAGTCTGCCTCCCGTCTGCTTCCCTGTCAGAGAATGCGCTCCCTGTCCTGGCACCCTCTGTGCCTGGCTGAATACTGAGGCCATCCTGGTGGCCTGGAGCAGCCATCCACTGCTTCCTGCCTTTTCTGTGACTCAGAAAATGATGCTTTGCTGCCCTCATCCTGTACTGAGTAGCTGAGTACCAGCACTGTTACAGCTTGTGTTTCTTCTCTGCATGTTCTGTCTCAGGAGCGTCCATGAGCAACGTGATACAGACAAAAATCCCACTTTTGTTACAGTTCTTGGGTTTCTGTGAATCTGCTGTGAACAATAGTGACTCAAATTCTCAATGTTAAAATGTGTTAAACACTCAGATTACCAAAGGGGGTTCTGATTGGGTTGAACTAGCTTTCCAGTTGTTTATCCAGGCATGCCAGCAGTCATGATGCTTCATGTGCCTTTAAAAAGTGAATAACTGTATAGTTGGAGTCATAAACTTAAAATAGAAATTATTGTACTTCTAGTCAAAATACAACTATGATTTCAACCTTGATCTGTAGGGCACCTGTCTTTACTCTCACTGGGTGTACATAACCCTTCCTATTACAGATTGAGCTATATGTATTATTCCTTCAGGGTCAAAGTGCCTCTGTAACCACACTGTTGATTGCTGCCCTTGTTTGTCAGGCTGTGAAGATATTATTGCTGAGAGCATCTCCCTGGACACCCTGATTGCCATTCTGAAGTGGAGCTCTCAGCCCTACGGCTCCAAGTGGGTGCATCGCCAAGCACTGCATTTCCTCTGTGAGGAGTTTACCCAGGTCATGACTTCAGAGGTCTTCTACGAACTCAGCAAGGACCACCTGCTCACAGCTATTCAGTCTGACTATTTGCAGGTAACCAGCAGTGCAGAATACAGCTGGTCCTGCTAGAACTAGCAGGATGTGTTATACCATTATTGGAAATGCCTGGCAGTAGTTGATTTTTAATTCTGAAGGCTGAAGAGAGCTTGTACACACTAAGCATTCCTCCTATAATATGTAAAAAAAATTAAATGGAAGTAATGATTAAGAAAATTGTTATGTTCTTGGCTTGTAACACAACCCAAATGTGGTATATGCTGTTGCTTAGAAGTCTAATAATAGTTTATAAATGCATGCAAATTATTTAAACAAAGCATTTCTGAATCTAATATTTGCCTTGACTGTTTAAGAGATTTATAAAATTACGTGGTGGAAATAGTTTTGCTGTAACAACACATGCTCATTTGGGGCTGTGGGAGCTAACAAACTTGAAATGGTTCTGAAAACTCAATTTATTTTCATGGAAAGAGAAAAATACCATCTCTGACAAGTATTGCACAATTTTTTTTAAATGACTTGCCTTCAGTGATTGTGTGGTTTTTGGGAGAGAGAACTGTACTGGCCAACAAAGATTCTGGATTTTTGCTGCCATTGCTCTTCAGGGGAGATATCTTTTAAATGATGACCACCCTTAATAGCTTAAAGATTACTGGATTTTTTTTAATGCATTCATCTCAGTCTTATTTTTTTTTGTAAAGGATTAAGTGCTAGAGATAATTTAAAGTGTTTTTTAACAAGCTTTGTTAACTTGAAGCATTTCAGAAATTACAGTTTATACTACTGTTGATCTTCCATGAGCGCTAATTTTGCTGAATTTGTCATGTTAAACAAAAGTTTGAAAAGCCCAGAAGTAGAACTGCCCCTTTTCAATAAATTTAGTAATTCAAACGTCACAGCTGTAAGTTTCCATACTGAATGCAATTTTTCCTTCTGTACAAAACTTCTTCCTCTTCCTAGGGATTCAGTAAGTAATATGAATGTAGAAATCATGGTGGTGATATACCTGTAGTACAGCTTTAAATATTAGAAAAAAGTGGTAAGCAGATCATAAAGTGCAAATACTTAGGTGCAACTGTGTTTCTTTAGATCTGTAAAAGACCTGTGATTTTTTTTTCTTTTGTGTGTGTGCATGTGACATTAAGCATGTACAGATTACTGACTTCCTCTTTCTACAGGCAAGTGAACAAGATATTCTTAAATATCTGATTAAATGGGGAGAACACCAGTTGATGAAGAGGATAGCAGATCGAGGTGAGAATCCTTTAAACCATGCAGTACTAAACCAAATAAACCAAAATTAATGGCAGTTCTATTTTGTGAGTCCTCTGTACCTTAGGGAAATTGAATCTACTTTGTCCCTTGTGTAGTCAAAACAAAGCAAATGCTCTTGCTTTCTTTAAAGGTTTTGTTGCCTAAAATGAGAACACAGCATTCTGAGAGAGATGGGGCTGGTTAGCCTGAAGAAGAAAAGACTTAGAGGGGATCTTAGCAGAGTCTAAAAATATCTAATGCCAGGAAGCAAAGAAAATAGAGCAGCACTTTTCTCTTGGCACCCAGGACAAGATGAGAGGCAGGGAGGCACCAACTGAAATATAAGAAACTGTGAACACGGTCAGACACTGGCACAGGTTGCCCAGCTGGATGCAGTGAAGGGCAATGTGTTGTACCTTACCTGGGGAGGTGTGGGAAGAGGGCATTGGTTGTGACTGAACTAAACTTTTGAGGTCCTTTCAACCTCTATGACTGTCTGATTTTGAAGTCTTGTTGGTTTTCTGTTGTCTCAGAATTACTTTTCTTGTAACTAATTCATCAAATAAACCCCTCTGCAGTATCTTGTTATGCAGGCTTCTCACAGTAGTCTTACTCTTAGTTTACTGTGTCAGCCTTTCACTTCAGTTTGAGTGTGTCTCTCTGATAGGAATCTGTGGTAGTGAGAAACAAGCCAACAAGTGGCACCAGTGTTTTCCCTAAAGTAGATGTAAATGTATTTTTATGAGCCTAGATGCACATTATTGCTACAATGGTAACTTCAAGGGCAATCTTACACGTGTTGGATGTGGGAATTACGTTAAACATGTATGTCCCAAATTACAAATGATAGGATCTTGTAGTTCATCTGCACTACCGAGTGTCAATCACATAATGCCACAAGAGGAACAGAAAGGGAAGAGCCTGCCTGAGTAAAAAGGGAGCAATGCTGGTGTAACTATTTCCTTGGGAAGGCTGGCTATGCTTCTGAAATCCACTATGACTGCTTCCAATATAGCTGCTTTGTCATGTTGCATTTTATGAAATGCAACAAAAAGTTAGTTAAAGGATGTGCTTCTAGTGTCCTGAGAAAGTATTTACCTATTTCCAAAACAGGATTTTCCAAGTGTTTGTCGTAGGACACATTGGAACATAATGGAGCTCGTTAAAGAGTACCAGATCTGGGCTGGGGCAGAAGCTGCTCCTTTGGGATCACTGCCCAGCTTCTTCCTCTGGCATTCATTGAGTAAACAGCTCACATCTCTAATCTGGGATCATCAGAAAACACAATAAGCAAAAGCAGAAATAATGGTGACGCCAAATTCTGTCAGATTAGAGACAGATTTAGTCTAGTAATTTCATTTAAATTCTTCAGCGACACTCCTTGTATTACAGCTCTGAATGTGTGATGGTGTCAATGCCACAAAGCATTAGAGAATGTAGCGAGCCGTGGCCAAAACTTTAACTGCATGTACTGAGGGAAGGTGGGTATGTTTGACAGGTTTCCTCAAAGAGGGAATCTAGTCAGTCACATTCAGGTTGGGTACAATATCTAAAATACACATGTGGGCTGCATGGTCATCTTGCTGTCTCCATGAAGATGCCACTTCTGGTACAATAAGTGTCCTGTGATGGTGAGAGCAATTTGAGAGGGCTTGACACTGTTACTGAGGTGGGTTACACAAGGAAGCTAGAATAATGTATCCCTGAGGACTCTTCAGACCTTAATTGATAGAAAGTGTCATTGAAAACTGCTGGGGAAAGGCTGAGGTGCTACTGGAGAGTCCCTGGGGGAACTGCTGGCAGGGAGGTACAACTGCTTTCATGGCATAGCTCTTCATAGAGCTTTCCAAATGTCTATGTCAAATGCTATTTTTGTGTTTTCTGTCTGGCTTACACTTTGAAACTGGCAGCTGTGCCCATGACCCATGCGGGTGTGAACTGAACCTGTCTGTGGATGCTTCATCTAAGATTTTAAGGCATGGGGTAGAATCATAGAATCATTTAGGTTGGAAAAGACCTCCAGGATCATGTAGTCCAACCTTTGACTAAGCCACCACCCTGTGCCATGTTGGGTTGTTAGTTTTGTGGAATAGTGCTGATGAGCCCTACTGATATAAAATGAGAATTTTCCTTCCTTTTCTTTAACCTTCCCTGTAAGGTAAGCCCTGTGCCTCCCGCTATCCTCTTTAAGTTTTCTGATACAAACTTAGCATGTCTTGTTCCTTCCCACAGAGCCTAATTTACTCAGTGGTACTGCTCACAGTGTGAATAAAAGAGGTGTGAAGAGGAGAGATCTTGACATTGAAGAGCTGAGGGAGATCCTGTCTCCACTTTTACCTTTTGTCCGCATTGAGCACATCTTACCCATGAATAGTGAAGTACTGAGTGATGCAGTAAGTCAGTAGTCTCATACAAATACATCTCTGCAAGTTACAGTGTTCAGGTGTGAGGGGTTTTTTGCTTTGGTGGGTGTTAGTTTTGTTTGTTTATTTTAAGGATTAACTTCTAAAAATGTTATCATTGAGAGTAACAGATGTGTAAGACTCTTTTTCTGGTTAGGTTTTGTGTTCTTTAAATCTATCAAAAGGCAAAAAAAAAATCAGTGGTGTAAGGATTCAGTGTAAAGAATGCATTTGTTGCAAATTTTTACCATATTAATATTTAAAAAACTCTTTCTTGATTCTTAAAGATGAAGAGAGGCCTGATTAGTACTCCTCCTTCAGACATGCTACCAACATCAGAAGGTGGAAAGTCAAATGCCTGGCTGCGGCAAAAAAATGCTGGAATATATGTGCGGCCAAGACTGTTCTCACCATATGTGGAGGAGGCTAAGGTAATATCAGCAACACTTAACTGTTCTCAGATTGGAGTCATCAGGGGGTTCTGTAAAGAGGGAAAGATTTTGGGATGTTTTGTCTCTTTACATGTACTGGCCTAAAATACTAACATTTTCAGTTTAACAAGACTTACAAGATTGATCATCAGGCTCAAGTCTCTAGAACTGGTCAGAAAAATTTCAACAAAATTTTTTTTTGTCGAAATTGAAATGTTTGCGAGACAGATCTTGATGAAATTCCACCGGAAACAAAGCAGCGTTCTGAGGGAAACCTCCCTGGTTTCCAGCCAGTTTGCCGGCCCAGCTCCTCGGCAGCCCTCCTGGCAGGCGGATGGCAAGGTGAGAGCCTGAGAGTCCCAGTCTGCAGCTAGTCAGCAACCTTGGTGCCAGCCAGCTCTTTCAGGCTCCCCAGCTCCCACCACAGCTGGGTGGAGAACTGCTATTCCACTCGGCAGAGGACTGATGTTTCATCATCTTGTTTAAATCAGAACATACCCAAAATCTTGTGATCCTCCGCAAAATGGAATAAATATCCTGTGTCCAATTTGAATGAATTTGTTTCCCTCTCAAGCAGTTGCTTCCCTGTTTAATTTCTTGCATGAGCACTGTCAAGCTGAAGGTCTTGTAGCATCTCTGGTGGTGATGTTTGGTGGCAGGGTGGAGATGGTGCTGTGTGGGACAGGAATGTGCCACGTTCTGTTGGACAGAATGGGAGTCTTTTGTGTCACTGACCAATGCCGCCACTTCAGGTGGCTCTGACTTGACTTGAGAGCTTATGAGTCCCAGCAGTGCAGGTGACAACAGAACAAGAGGATTAGGTGAAGCTGTGTACATCCACATCACCTACAGACACTGACATCTGCTCGGGTGAATGTGGAGCTTTTACCCTGTGCCTAGGAGAGAAAATGTTTTTTAAAGATATGAGATGTTATTAATATCCTCTTTGAGGGAAGGCAAGAAATAAAACTGCTTTGCATTTGGGCACAGCAGTTAGAGAGCACCAAGTGGCACTAAAATAGCAAAGGAGGATTAGCTGGTTAAAATGTTCTCTTTGGATCTTGGATTGCTAAAACTAACAAAAATGTGATAAAAGCTTTTAGTCTTAGTTTTCAGGTATAGACTATGGGAGTGCTTTAGTATTTATCCAGAATAGACAGTGAATTCTTACAACCCCCATACCCCCGTCAGAATCCCTGCTTGTTAGTACTGGTTTCATATTATGCTGTTAATATTTTTAAATAATTTTAAGGCTTTTTAACCTTAGAGGGAGGACTCTCATACATAGTCTCTGGTAACTTTAGTCCTCCTATAGGTAGTTTAATTATTGTGAAATAAAAAAATTCTGAATGAGTGATATTCTTTTTTTTTTGCTAGTCTCCCATTTTTTGAAATAAATTCATTTGATCTTAAGTAAGAATCTTCAAAGGGTAGGCATAAATCTTTTTTCTGTTCTTTAGATGTCTGAGGAAATCGTTTCATTTTCAGGCTGGTGCCTTCTACTCAATGGCACAGAAAGCTGAGACTCATAGGCAGGAATTTTCTTAAGTCCAGAGGGTCTGGTTTCGAGTAGGTCAGTTCTAATCTGACTTGGTAAAGTAAAGAAAGCATCCTTCCCAAACTATTCTTCTGCCTGATCTTAGCTCAAACTCGGCTATGATCATGACTGGAAAACGGAATAGAAAATGCTGATGTTAATGCTGATGTTGTTTGTGACGTGACAAAGTCACTGTGGTGCAGACATGGTGGGACTTGTGTCTCTGGGGCTGTGCTGGCAGCAGTGGCAGCGGGTGTGTGCAGTGCCTTCATGAGGCTCTGGTGCTGTCGTTGCAGTCGGTGCTGGACGAGATGATGGTGGAGCAAACGGACCTGGTCCGCCTGCGAATGGTGCGCATGTCCAACGTGCCCGACACGCTGTACATGGTGAACAACGCGGTGCCGCAGTGCTGCCACGTCATCACCCACCAGCAAGTCAGCACCAACCAGGCCAGTCCTCCCTCAGTCATAGCCAACGAGATCCCAGGTGAGCTGCTGATGGCTTCCCGTGCCGAGTGAGCTCCTGGGAGTGTGTGGCTGCTTGGGCCTGGGGGGAGTGAGTGTCAGTTATTGAACTCCATCATTTCCTTGGAGAGTAGTTCTGCACCAGCAGTAGTCCTTCTGCTTTGGTCTGTCCTAAAGACATTAACTGGTTTTGAATGGCAGAGTAAACAAAACCCTTGGACTGGTTAAACAGGTAGAACACTTGCTGGAGCCTGGCTCTCTATTCTCAGAATTTTCTATAGGGTTCTCAGTTTTCTACAAACCAATTGTCCAATATAGGTAAGATCTGTGAGTCTGGAAAATTTATTTCAAAAATCAAAAGCCAGAGAACAAAACTTGTAAGGAAATCAGCTGAACTCAGTATGCCAGAAAAGTACTGGAAATGAGAACTCAAAACACATTCACTTCAATTTACCAAATCCACTTCAGCTTTGAAGCTAAACCAACTTAATTCCTTGTGGAAGAATGTGTCAGAGTACATTTTATAGGCTCAAGTAAATATGGCCTCTCTTGACTTCAGGGTGATTGGTGTGACATTCCCCATAGGCAAGCCAGGAAAATATATACTAAATGTATTTTGTCATTTATGCATATGATCTTTTGGTGTCAGACTGGAAGAATTTATCTAGTGGAGTTCTAAAGCATCTAACTCTTCCTGTCTTTCCCCTGTCCCATTAATACTCAGTGTGCATAGAGAAAACACTGGCAAAACTTGCAATTGATGGCAAGTTGGCAGGGTTAGTGGATGTTTTGGAGGGCAGGATTAAATAGCTAAATGACCAAGATTAAATTTTAATTCAGTGACAGAAAATACTGTGCCTATGGCATTCCCCATTTTATAAGCTCTTTGTATATCAATTATGTATCTCTTCAGTCAGCTGTGTTGAGAGGAAATAGATAAACTATTCTTACAGATGCTAGACCCAGGACCAAAGTAATGGATTGAAATTGGTGCAAGAGAATTTAAGTTGAAGTGTTAGGAAGATTGGAAACACTGTTTGGTTATAAGATTTCTAGGAAAATTCGTAGAACAGTTTTGATCTCTTTGCTTCTTGTAGTCTGGGAAGAAACTTGATAAAGCTGAAAATGAGCTTCTGAAAATTTCTGTTTGAAAAATTTGATAAAAGTACCAATTGTTTCTTTAGAAATCTGTAGCTCTCAGCGAAACTGTGGCATCTCAGCAGTGCATTATATTACTTAGACTTCCCTCCCCAGAAAAGTGTAAATATACTTAGAGTGAATTGAATATAAACTATTTCATTTAAGATAGGACTTTGATAACACTTTGCTCAATTCTAATTTCCAAAGAATTTGAGAAAGGCAGCAGGTTCTCAGAGGTCTTCAGTGTTTTGCCAAAGTTCTCATGTTCTTGAAAAAACTGTCTCTGTTGGCAAGAGTGAGACACATCTTGACCATTCTGAAACTCCCCTGCGTCTTGGTTCTGTACAATTTAATAGGCAGGAATTATTGCCAGTCATTGATTTGAGCACAGAAACGGGCTCTGAGCCTGGCCAGTAGTTGGAGCGCTGGCATTGTGTCCTGGCAACTGTCTGCTTTGCTTAGTCCTGTAATTAAGCAAAAGAATTGATTGGTTTGCCAGTGCCTTTTTGCTAGAATGGGTAGGTAGGGCCCATTTATTGTGAGGAGATTAAAGCCTGTCCCAACCTCTAACTTGTACAGGGATCCATCCTGAAGCACAGAGGGAGCACCAGGGGAGAGCTGGGCAGCATCGCCTCTGCGCCCTTGGGCCGGGCTCAGGGCAGGGGGTGCTTCACAGCTTGGGGCTCCCCGTCTGTCCCTGCCTTCTGCTTGGACCCTCTGCCTGAGGACTCTATTTGCACAAACCTGCTGGCAGTGTGTTTTAGTGCTCTTCCTGCAGCACTATTGTAAAATGAGTTCAGCTGAAGCCTGCTCTAACTTGAGGCCAGGTTCTGCAAGTGGTTGGGCTTCTTTATGCATTTTCCAGTTTCAGTCTGAATTAGAAATCTTGCAGCTGAGATAACTGTATTTTTTTTATATACATGATCTTTCTTCCATGTGTTTCATATGAATAAAAGTAAAAAAAAAAACCCAAACCAAACCAGGGTTTGAGAAGACAGTATTTTTTAATGAAAACCTTCTATCATTTTTATGCCTACTAGTTTGGAGAACTGCTTCAGACTTCTCTTAGATCCTCTCTTTTAAGTATTAGCAAAATGCTGGCTCTAGCTAAACATCTGGCTGCTAAATCAAACTTTTTCAGAAGAATTTAAGTGTGTGGAGGGTAGAGGACTTATTTACAAGCCTTGAAGACTGGTTAGAATGGGTTCCTTCCCTCTCCTCTCAGAACAGGAACTCCATTGAAGGAGGGAATATTTTGCACACATATACTTCTTCATGTACTGATGTAAATTTTGTGAAATTGGGACCAGTCGTAATTGTGTGGTGTTTCTCCTTCTCTGTAATGCAAATGTCTTTTCACACTGTTCTTGCTGTATGATCCGTTTAATTTTTATCAGTTTTCATTACAGACATCTGGTCATGGTAATACATAAAACACTTGTAAAGCTGGTAAAGGATCAGACACCAGAATTTACACACTCAGAGATCTGGATTTGTCTTCTCTGTTTATATGCACATTTTCCTTAGGACAGAAACACCACAGAGAAATATAATTCATCATCAAACAGCAGTAAGAAGTGGCATGAGAAAGTTTTGCAACAGGCTAAATACCCAAAATTATACATGACTTTCTTTTGGAATGGTTTTTAAAAAATTATTTCAATGTGACTGCATAAAACAACATAATTTTAACAGGTTTTTGTTGGCTTACAGTTCATGTAACTTTTGTAAAATGCCCTTTCTCTAGTTACATACTGGTGTTATGGTCTTTTGATTATAGAACTGCTTTAGAAGTATGAAGTATATGCCAAAAAAAATCAATGAATTCTTGGCCCGTGCAATTCAGTAGGGAACATTCAGTTGTTATTTAAGATATCCTGCCTCCACCTTCAAATCATGGAATTCCTGCATCATAAGGGGTTTACAAAGAAAGCTGTATTTGTGGCTCATTCTAGCAGAAGCTGGAGAAGTGGTGTATGTTTTTATCATTTGTATTATGTGTGTTTTCCCATGTGGCTTAATGATGCGCCATGGAACATGTGTAAGTTAAACAGTTTTGGCAGAATGCTTCTTAAAAAAAAACCAAAAGCCAAGGCAGCCTGATGTTAGATTTGTTCCTTCTGAATCAATCCAACCATTGCAATCAAACTGACTTAGAGTTGGATAAAAAGGACTCTCTCTTATGCCCACCCCACTCTCTGTTATCCCTGCAGTTCCCAGTCTCCTGGTTGTGAAAGAGATGATCCGGCGGCTGCAGGAGCTGCGCCACACGGAGCAGGTGCAGCGAGCCTACGCTCTGAACTGCGGGGAAGGCGCCACCGTCAGTTACGAGATCCAGATCCGTGTGCTGCGGGAATTCGGGCTTTCTGATGCTGCTGCTGAGCTCCTGCAGGTATGAAGGATGGCTGTGTAAGAGCATGAAGGGCCTTGATTGTGTTCTCTGCAGTAGAGAATGCTTGCTGTGTATGCACACAAGTGCTTTGAAATGCCTGCATGACTGTCTAGGTGCAAATGCCCGTTGCATTTTATGTATGTGATTTTATAAAGCTGTAAGTGCAATGCATAAATAGTTTTTTCAAGAGTCATTGCCATTCAAGAGGCTCTTATTGACACAAATTTTGGGGACAAAATAAAACTGCTTAAGAGAGAGTGGATGAGAACAGTAGAACCATAACATGAAACCTAGATTATTATTTATTCTTAAAACAGAGAGGCGAAAAAGTGGTAGCTTATGCTGTAGGTCTGCACAGTGTCGGGACTGGGAAAGTGAAAATCCCTCTTCTGCTTATACACTGGTGCTAAAGCACGTGCAATTGTTGGTCAACTTACAGTGAATATGCTGCTTCTTGCCTTATTTTAAAAAAACACTAATCCATTTTGCATGGTAGCTGTAGTCACCTTGAGTATTGGTGAGCTTGTACATAGCACAGGCAGGCAGTTACAGTATTAGCATGTTTCTGAGAGTATTAGTTGGGGAGATTTTTCTAGATGTCTTCCTACTTTGTCTTGTAACATGCTGGGTATTTTACTTTTGCAGAATCCTCACAAATTCTTTCCCGATGAGCGATTTGGGGATGAAAGCCCACTGCTGACAGTGAGACAGTCTGGACGATGTCGCGTCAACAGCACTCCCACTGCAGAAACCATGTTTACAGAACTGGACTCTTTCGTGGCCTTCCATCCACCACTGCCCCCTCCTCCACCTCCATACCACCCACCAGCAACTCCTATTCACAACCAGTTCAAAGTGGGCTGGAAACAAAGGGTGCCAAGTCAACATCCCTCCCGTTCCTTTTCTTACCCCTGCAACCACTCGCTGTTCCACTCGCGGACCGCCCCCAAGGCTGCCCCTCCCGTTTACCTGCCCGGCGCCAAGGCGGCGCCTCCCGACTGCACCAACACCGCGGCTCTGGGCCGCCAGACCGTGGCGGCGGCAGCGGCAGTGATGGCAGCTGAGAAACAAGTAGTAAGTGTTGGGATTTCTCCTCTTTTGCCTATTTCTCAAAGTACCTCATCGAAGGAACTGGAGAGAATGCTTATGATGAGGTAACTTGGCTTTGTTAAATAAAATCAGTGTCTTTGTTGGTTAGGAGGTTTTTCTGCCGAACTCTCAGCATTCTCTATCGCAAAGGCGTGCCCTAATCCCTGGGAGAACGAACATTCCAGGGCAGGAGCATTATTGGAGGGGCAAATGGCACTCAGGAATCTTCTGAAATTGTAGAATCACAGAATATCCTGAGTTGGAAGAGAGCCACAGGGTCTGTTTCAGTGTCCAGCCGCCCTGTGGGTGAAGATCCTTTCAGTCCTGTCACTGGTCACAAGAGAGATCAGTGTCTCCTCTTCCTCTCACAGGTAGTTGTAACTGCAGACGGGTCTCCCCTCAGTCTCCTCTAGGCTGAAGAGACCAAGTGACCTCAGCTGCCCCTTGTGTAGCAAATGTAGTTTGCTCTACACTAAAATAAAGCATAAGCCAACTTCAGTAGTGGACTGCACACTGTAATTCACAGGTAGAAGTAGTGGGGATATTTTGGCTATTTACAGGTAAGTGGTCTGAAGTAGACAGGTTGCCTTTATACATGTTGAAGAGTATGAAAGCTTTACAGCTGAGAAATATTTGAAAAGGAATTGACAAGCAGAAATTGGTAGTTGCTGATACAAAGGACTTTGTTATGGCATTTAAAAGCAGTCATTATAGTTGCTGAGCTTCAATATGATGCAATAAAACCAACTGACTATAAGATATCCAGTAAAGATAGCTTTATGAAATACGGGAAGTGCTGAATGAAGAATTTAATAATTTATTTCTGCAGTGAAAAAACTGTCAGTGCATAGTTGGGGCACTAGAAATGTGTGAAACATTAGAAATGTGTGCCATTGTTTGGTCAGAGGTGGGATTCATAGCATGTCACTCTCCTTTGATCAATACTGACTTCCCTAAGGAAACTATATGTTCTGCTAGAACATGTCCATAAGTAATGCAAGGGGGAGCATAGGCTTAATATAGGTGATTTTTTTGTTCTGTATTCTTTCTGCAGTTTGTGAGTTACTGTTAATCAGTGTTTGCTAAAGTTGCTTTAATGAGAAATTATACGTGCAAGTAGAAATTCTCACTCTCCTCTCTGGAAGGCTGTAATATGAACAATTCTGCACTGAGGCAAACATGGGGTAGGTGAGAAGAATGCCATTGCAGCAGCTTCCACATACTCTGTGGATCCTAGTGAGCCCTGTAACTGATGCTCCCCCAAGTCCTGAGGCTGTCCTGCATACACATTTGCAGTTTACTTACTTTAAAATGGGGAAGCAGAAGGGTTGTGTCTATAGAGATGACACATGTGTGTTGTGGCTTCCCTGCACTGGAACTGTGTGCTGTGACAAACCATTTGTTAGACTCTGCACCAAGTACCTTCTTTGGATTGATAATTTTAAATGGCTTAAAAGCTTAAAGCCTACCTTTAAGAAGTTCAGCAGTACAGTGTCCTTTACTGCACGTTAAAGGCAAGATGCATTTAAGAGGAGCTGTAACTGTGACACAACAGCTTCATGAAGGAAAGAAGCAGGAAGGTGAAGGTTGGTGGATAGATGTGTTCTTTAAACAGTGCAGGAAACTTGCAGGCTGAAGTTAGCAAGACTAAAGTAGATTAAGAAAATGCCTTTTTGAATTACAAAAGCTATCCTAAATACAGTTTGTGTTTAGCTCTTGTCTTTGTTTCCATGGACCAATTTCTTTTCTTTTCCAGTGTACTCAGCCCCTGCTGAATGAACTGATGCCAGACATCGCAATGGGTGTGTCAGCAATGTCTTTGAAAGACCGAAGATTACCAGAGCTCACGGTGGACACGGAGCTAAGCCAGGCGGTTACAGAGGTAGGGCCCGGCCCACCCCAGCACATTTCATGCATTCAGAACAGACACATGCCTACTTCTCGGAAAAAACATGCAATAGAGCAAAAAATAGATGCTCGAGAAAACCCGCAGGAATATCCTGACTTCTATGACTTCTCTAATGCTGCATGCAGACCCTCTACTCCAGCACCCAACAGGCACAGTTCTTCACCTTCACAAGGCATTTATTTTGGCCCAGATTTGTACAGCCACAATAAGGCATCACCAAGTGGCTTAAAGTCAGCCTATCTACCTTCCCAGATATCTCCTAAAAAGCAAGAGGATTCTAGGAGGGAGTACCTGCTCTCACAAGATGGGCATCAACACAGACAAAAGAACGAGCCAATACACCTCGATGTCTTAGAACAGCCTCCCCAGCGACTGGACTTGGCACTGGCTACCCAGGAAAATGCTGGGAATGGCCCTGTTCACGTCAGGGGAAGAGCAAAAATGGAAACAGATTTAACCTATGGTCTGACCTCCAACAGACCTTCACTGTCTGCATACAACTCTGATGTGCCAGAAGAGAGACCCAGTAGGAGACTGGCAGATGATGAGCCATTGGAACATGGAGCACAGAGAAATGCAGATTTGGAAAGGGAAGATGGAGTAAGCAGAGGAAGGAGGTCTCCAAATAAACCAGACTTCCTGTACAAAAAATCTGCCCTATGAAAGCAACCTCCACTATTTCTCTGTGCCTAAGAGTTGTAAACATCCCATTCCTTGCAACTTTTGGCCTGACTTCTGTCAGAGAAATTCTTTCATGCCAGCAGAAAAGTTCAGCTTTGCTCACTTGTTTTGTACATACATTGCTTTTTTAGAGACAGCATGTTATCAGTTTGGTTTTAATGCTGCTTCTGGGTTTATTTTGTTGCAATTTTTTTTTGGAGCAGATTTAATTAAGCCTTTTAAAAAAACAGAAACTGGTACCTTTTTTCTACAACCTGGTAGCCTTTTGCACCTGTACATCTATTTTAGTGTATTAGTTTTGTACTAATATGTTAAACTTTAATGTCACATTTAAAGGACTGTATTTTCATACTTTTGCATTTACCCTTTCACATGCTGATTCTCTATGTGCATTGGTTTGCACATTATGAAATGTATTTTCTTATGAGATAATAACAGTGCGTTTATTTTTTAATTATAGGAATTCCAAAGAACAGCACATCAAAAAACCTACATTTTTAGTTGGATTTTTTTGTTTGGTTGGTTAGATTGAAATCTTCCTGATTTTTATGACTATGGCGAGAATCCAATCTAATATTTTGTTTGAAAAGATCTGCCAGCTGGTCTTATCTTTGTATGCATAGCAAACCCACTTCAAAAATTATATTTGAGGTTTTAAAAATCAAGAGGGATATTTAGGAATCCAAGTTCCTTTGAAATTCACTGGAATATAACAGTATGAGTCTGTTTACTTTTGTTTTGGCTGTGACCATGGAGGACTCCATGATCACCTGGAAGCAGGAAGCACTTACTAGACAGACTAGAATTGCTGATTTGCCCATTTAGAAATAAATCTAGAAATACTGTAAAAATTACAGTAATTACTTGTTCTTCCAGCTGCTCATCCGTGGGTAGGCGAAGACCAGATGAGCGGATTCCTGCTAACTCGTGGAGTGTCAGGAAGACGAGGCTCGGAGCCTTCGCTGTTGCCTGAACACGTGGGAGGGCTTCCCTCCCCGGCGGTGCGAGGTGACAGCCCCTGGCCTTGCTTTCTCCTGCCTGTGCTTACAAAAGGGCTTCACTCTCAGTGACAGCGTTCTTGCCTGGCCTCCCCTGGCCCCCAGGGGCAGCTGTTCTGTGAGCAGAATCCAAGTGAGAGTCACTGCTTCAGCAACACGTGTGAAGCTCTGTGGCTCTTAAACTACACCTCCATTGCCTGATTTGCTTTTTGAAAGCACAGAAATGAGATTCCCCTGATAACAGGATGTGAGGAGGGAAAGATGCTGATCTGGGTTGGCTCCTGCCACTGGGGCAGGGTTCAGCAGAGCACCAGGGGAAGGGTTACAATTATGAAGTACATCCTTAATACTCATGGTGCAGTTCTAACAACAAATCCATTGCATCCAGGATAGGGATCTGATGCCACTGCAGAGTAGTGATTGCTGGGTAAGGTCCTGTTTGGTGGAGGGCTAAATGCAGTTTCTGTAATGAGTTTCCCTATAGCAGAAAACTATAGTCCCAGGTGTGACCTAAGGACTGCTTTAAGATTAGGTTGAATTGTTTCCTGCAGCTCAAAGTGCTTAATACTGTTCAACAGAAATCTTGCTGTAACTTTACTTTTGGTTTTAGTTGATGGCAAATTCTTACCTAATATATTTCATTGAAGTATGGAGGGCCTGGTAACAACACAATGTTACTGAAATATATTGAATACAGCATTTCCAAACTACCAGATAGCTTCTAGATGAATTAAGATATTGGTCTTTGAACCAATAAACTGCATCTCCTGCAGACACATCTATAGACCTGTTTCCATGGTGGTTCTGCAGGTGCTCCTTTTGAGGTGCAGGCATGGAAAGCATGGTGTAGGGCTGGAGCAGAAACTTGCCTAAACTCTGCAGGTGATGTGTCCTGTGGGTTAGGGGAGATTTATTTTTTTTTCCTCTGTCAGCTTTTTTTATCTTGTTTTTTGCCCACAGTCAAGGCACTGGGTGGTCCTGGCTTCATCACCCATCTGTGGGATTTCAATGTGAGTGGTGTAGGACACTGTTAAGTGCAAGAAGTTGTCAGTGGGGGGATGGTGCTGCTGCAGGTTAAGGGGCTGAGGCTCGTTGGGTTCCTCCTGAAAATTTGAGCACAGTGCTGTCTGACTGCATAGCTCTGACTGCACACAAAGGTCTCATCCTCACCAGCATGAGACCAGCTCAGTAGAACCAGTAACTTTCAGCACACTCAAGAACCCCGAAACTCCCTGGACTTGCATCATGTATGTGTTGGCAGTTTAACTACTAAATATCAGAGCTGCCCTCATAAAATTTATTATTCTCAGTATTTTTGCCTAAAACTGATAGATGTACTTCAGGAAAACTATTTTGATTATCATGGTTTGATGTGGCACTGTGTACTTGGGCAGAGGTGGGACTGAGATCTATAGATAGAATTTTAAAGCTTGAAATATAGGGGGGGTGTGGCTGATGAAAAGTTTTGAGGTTATGGTTTGAGGGAAATCATGAAATGCTTTGGCTTTGGATAAGCTGGTGAGAAATGCCTCTGGGGAGGACATGTCTGTGTTTTAGAATACAAAATTGTTTCTGAAGTCTCAGGAGCTGTGCATTATTAAAAAAGAGTATGAATAACATCTTCAAAAGTAGATGCAGAATGACAGGCAAGTCCTTCTGAGGCCACAAAGACAATCAGGCCACGTAGACAATCTCTTTTCACTTACATATTTTGAATTGGGAAGAAGATGGCAGCTAATGGCAGCTGGTTTGAAGTGGAAAAGAAGGATTTCTTTAATTACTGGAACTTTGTTTTTGTAGTCCGGAGCAGGATTTCCTACTTGGGATGTGCAGCGGGGTGAGACCATTTTCCATGGCAGCATCATTCAGAAGCCAGTGTTCATCCTACATCTCACTTGCACACCACACGTACCTGTGCTACCTGCTACTCCTTGTTCTCTGTCTACTGAAACTTTGGTGCAGAAGCTCCTTGTTTACATGAAGCACTTTCTGATTAGGCTGGAAATTGACACCTTTTCCCTCTATAAATTAGATGGAAATGACAGATTATTTTGCTTGAGGATAGAGATATAAACATTGTCTTTTTGAATGAAGGAGACTCATGCTCCTTGTTCTATTAAAGAGAGCTCAGACTTGCATTTAGTGAGCAACATGCAAAAAGGTCTTATTCCCCTTCCCCAAACCCAACTCCTCTTTTCCTTAATATATGGATGAATAACTTAATTCCTAAAACACATTCTTCCTTTGAAATGTTTTGTTGTTCCACAAAATTATTGTAGTTGTGTATTAGTAACTGCTGTGTTGATTGGCAGTTTCATGTTGTATTTTCCTGTTCTTAAGGATTTTCACTTACGAAAAATAAGGCTGTGGCCACCTGTACTTGTAAGCCTTGGGTTTTGGTCCCAAATGTATGTCTTTAGGGGTTTCTTTGGTTTGGGTTTGGGAGAGCGGGGGCACAAGGGGGTTTGGGTGTTTTGTATGGGTTTTTGGTTTGGTTGTTTTTCTAGGGTTTTTGTTTTTTGAAAGAACACTAATGCTGTTTGAGGCACTGTTCTAATAATTCTATGCTTCTATGGTAGAGGTGGTGCTGAGCCCTGCTGGATGCAGGGAACAGCTCAGAGGGAAACTTGTAAAACCGCATTTGGGGTTTCTGTAATTACCTGTACTGCCAGAAGGCAGCCCTGCCCTCGGCAGTGTTAAGAATTTGTTTCTTGTCCTTGTGTTGTTACTGGTATAAAGTCAAGTGCCTTCAATGCTAAAGGCTCAGAAAACTTTCTTAAACTGACTTCATGTCCTATGCAAGTGTTTTTTCTACAACCTGCATAACCAGTACTTTGTAAAACTTGTTTACGCTTCAATTGTACATAGTGTTTTTTTAAAAAAAATAGTATTTTTATTTAGGTACCTCCAAACTTGAATTCTAGTCTTGTGTGATGCATTGTAAAACAATACATTTCTCTTTTGAGTACCATTACAGTTGTAAAAAGGTTTTCACTGGTTCTATTTTTCTACTGTTGCTGAGAAGCATGTAACACTGACTTTATCCTACGTATAGTTGGCATTTCAAATAAATGGCTTGTATAGAACGTGGTTGTGTGGCTGCTTTCCCTGAGCTGCTGCTGCCTGGCTGCACCCAGCACCCTGCCCTGCTCACTCCAGGCTGCAGTGACCAGGCCTGGGGGAAAGGAGCCCAGCAATAAAGTGAAAAGGCTTGGGAAAAAAGGGGTAATGCTGTGAACGCCAAAGATATGGTATCAGCCAGTGTAAAAGAAGGATTTGAAATTAGTCACTCTGATCAGGCAGTTAATGAACGTGAAAAGCATTTCAGTAAAGCAGTTCTGTGAGTTCTGGCTGGAGCCTGAGTGACTGAGGCCATGCCTTGTGATGGGCAGTAGAGCTGCTCAGAGCTGGGCCTTGGGCACAGCCCTGGGTGCAAGGAAGTGTGTGTTCATTTTCTCCTTAGAGCAGTGTTCAGTTCCCAGGATTCCCAGGTTGCAGCTTCCCTGCCGACTATTCCAGCTGACTGTTTTTTATGCCTGTGTCTCAGAAACAAGTGCCTCATTGCTTCAGAGCAATGACTGTAGTTCAGAAGTGTCACCTGGCCACTTGCCTGGTCCCACTCTGGTGGGACAAGGGGCAAAATACCGTGGGTTACATCCTGACACAGCACAGGTGGCTTAGGAGAGGGAGAACTGTGTGGTTAATTACTGACACCGTCACTCCCACACCCAGGAAGATGAGTTCTAGGAGCTTCCTAAATTAGATGATTTTAACATTTTTTCTTACAGGCTCTCACTTTGCACCAGTGCTTTTAAGCCTGCCAACCTCAGAGGAGAGGAGGATGCCTGATGTCTCTGCTAAGGGAAGGCTTTCTGCATTACAGACTGTTGGAGCTGGGTCCCTTCAGGCAACCCTGCTTCAGTACAGGCTGATGCAGCAATGCACAGTGCTCACGGTCAGTTCTGGGCCTGTGCTCTGCAACTGGAGCCACAGCAATTCTACATTTGAACTCACTCCTTCCATCACTGCTGTATTTTCTCAAGCACAGCAAGGCTGCTGCTGTGCCATAAAGCATTTCTGTGATCACTGGGTCCTTTCACTGCTTTTTTATTTCCTGTGGAAGACACAATTGCCTTTGGGTACCCTCTCCCCTACTCCTTCAGTGAATTACAGAAACTGCAATACAGAGGAAACATGACCCTGTCCTGCTCCAAACTGTACTTGCCAGCATGCTGCTATCCCTTGTTTCACACCTGGGTCAGGTAGAAACAAAGTGTAGAAATCCCGGGTTTGACCAGCCCCCACTATACACCTTGGTGGCTTGGGTAATAGGTCATCACTGGGCTGCCTGCCTGGACTGAGAAAACAACACTACAGCAGCACTGTGAGAAAACAAGACAGCACACAGTGAACAGTTCTTTTAATCTTTTTATATTGTAGTTAGATGTGCAGTTACAGCTCCTGTAACAGTTGCTACCAAAAAAAGAGCATGTACAATATCCAGAGTTAAATTTAAAAGCAAATAGGAAAGGGCCCTGGGGGTCGATGACACATTGAGTATGCGCCAGCAGTGCCCTGGCAGCCAGGAGGGCCACCCATGTCCTGCTGGTGCATCAGCAATCAGCCAGGCAAGGGAGGGGATTTTCTGCTCTGCTCTGCGCTCAGGCAGCCTCACCTCCAGTGCTGGGGACAGTTCTGGGCACCGGGACATGAAATAATTACAAAGCTGTTAGAGAGTGTCCAGAGGAGGGCCAGGAGGACCTCGAAGGGCCCTGAGGGGAGGCCGTGTGAGGAGCGGCTGAGGTCACTTGGTCTGGTCAGCCTGGGGGAGACTGAGGGGAGACCCCACTGCAGGTACAAGTTCCTTGTGAGGGGAAGAGGAGGGGCAGACACTGATCTCCTCCATGTGGTGCCCAGTGACAGGACTGAGGGAATGGCCTGAAGTTGTGTCGGGGCAGTTTAGGTTGGGTGTCAGAGAAAGGTTTTTCACCCGGAGGGTGGTTGGGCACAGAACAGGCTCCCCAGGGCAGCGGTCACAGCACCAGCCTGACAGAGTTCAAGAAGAGTTTGGACAGCGCTCTTAGGCACATGGTGTGACTCCTGGGGCTGTTCTATGCAAGGCAGGGAGTTAGATGTGATGATCCTGATGGGTCCCTTCCAACTCAACATAGTCTATGTTCTATGAAACTGCTCAGCTGAGCATCTATGCTAAACTACTGTTTGTAAATAAAATGGTCAGAAACAGATAATAGTGAGAAGGATAAAAGTCTACCTATGCTTTTCAAAAACCATTATCACGGAAGCAGAATAGTACCCCATGATATAGAAATCCTCAAAAACTAGAATTTTAATGTATGTTTTGGGGTCTAACTACATTAGGCTCCAAACTTACAAAATCTTAATTTTTAATGGCAGCTAAGTGTAGTCTTAAAAGTCAGTGAAACATCTCCTGTCCCATGATTATCACAGTGGTTATAAAAAGAACATTGGATACTGTAGCAAAATACCATGATGCTGCAGTGTTTTCAGCAACATTTATAAAGTAGAAGAATTTGCTGAAGGCTAGTTTTAAAAATCAAAGCATATAACAAACCCCCCATGCTTAGTTTGTAATTTAGTACCTCCTCCTAGCTCTTATTTATGTTCAAATGAGTGAATTAAGATAATCTGGAAATTTTTTTACCACGGAAACCATCCCTGTGCAATACTAGAAATAAGTTTTTTAATGTATAAAACCAGATAGAACACTGTTGCATCAAGCCTAAGCTCTGCTCTCCCATTTGTGAGCAGCCCGGGGAGCGTTTCCCCAGCGGGAGCGGGCAGGCAGCAGCGCCGGTTCGGCCCGGCCCCTGAGGAGCCGCGGCAGGGCAGGAACAGGCAGGTGCTTGGTGCTGGGGCCCTCACCAGAACGGCTGCAGCCCCCGGGGAGGAGACAGAGCCATGCAGGCAGGAAAGCCGGGAGCGCGTTCCCGGACGGGGTTCAGCACAGCCCGGCTCCAGGCGCCGGCAGCAACCAGGGGAGCGGCAGCACACGCTGCTCCGCGGTACCCCCCCTCCTCCCCTGGAGACAAGGCCGGCTTTCCCGGGAATGCCAAGTCGATCGGTACTGAAATGCCTCTAAATGCAATGTAAGGATTTGTTAAGAACATGTTTTAGGTGCTACAAATGAAGGACGTGTAAGACAAAATGATGATGTTTCTTGGATAGCTGGATTTTGATGAGAAGCCAAAAACTGAAGATGCCTTTTTTGTTTGCCAGTGAACATTGTTTTGCCACTTGTCCTTTCAGACTCAAACCCTCTCAGTCTAACTACAGTAGTACTGCATCCTGTTAGTCCGTCGCCTTTTCCGAGACTGAAATTCTTCAAAGAAGTGCTGAATGTCTTCTCTTCTAACCACCTAGGAGAAGCAGTATGAAACCCAAGTTGTGGTGCCAAGAGCTTAATTAAAGGATCCTATTTTATCTCCACACATAATACACAAAGCACAGAAAAGCAAATACCCTGAAATTTCTCTGGTACAGCTTTCCTGTTGCACCCGAAGGAGAGGATTAATGCCCCAATTCTATTGTAGATAATACAAACAGGGAAATGAGCTCCCCAAAGGCAGAACAAAGACATGGACCAAAGCTCCCAATGGTATTTTAATGACTTTGACCTCTTGCTTTTATCATCAGAAAATTTAACACAAAGCAAGATTTTCATTAGCTCGCTTCAGGGTCATTCCAATGTAACTAAGAAAAGCAATACAGCAAGTCAGCCAACAAAATGCAAGTATTACTTAATAATGGCATGCAAATTCCTGCAGGAAAACAACTGACAAGACTGACAATCATAGTCTGTCCTTATTCTTCTAAGGGCTTAGATTCAATCTAAGAAAAACCAGAAAAGTTAAGAGCTTTTCTTCCTGAATATCTTACCTAGAGCAACAGAAGTTTCATTTTAATCTAAGAACTGCTCTCAGTACCTTGCAGACAGATTTCTGTAAAGTTCCCATTATCTCTCAACAACATCATAAAGGAATTGTTAAACTCAAATGAAATAAGGGATTTCTGATTTCTACTGCAGTACCAGCAACTCCAAGAGACAAGAAAAAACATTACAACAGAACATCATGGTATTCACCACCCAGCCCTCAGCAATTCTTTAAAACGTATTTCTGGCAAACAAATTCTAGAAGTTCCACCTTACCGTTCCCTCATCTGCAAACCTCCTGAGATAGTCAGTCAGTTCTGTCTTGAAATCATTGTATTCTGGATGGCAAAGCAAAGGCAAAGAAAAAACCAGTAAGATACCCAGTTTTAGTTTGACATTGACTCAATAAGAACTTGTTCTACTTCCTCCTGTCATTTGTTAGGTTTACTTCAGACAAATCTAGGTTTTAATTAGATCATAAATAATAATAATGTAAAAATGAGAATCCCAATAATTTATGAGACTAACCTATGTAGTGTGAGCATCAGTTTGGGTTGATTTCAGAGAAAGGTATAGAGATCAGTGAGTGAATTAGTAATTACAAGTTACAAGACTGGCCCTGCTCCCAGCTTCCCCCCACAAAAGCACGTGTGGGTCGTGATGGAAAGGCCCAGCCTGTAATTTGGGACTGGGACACTGTCCTTGCCAGAGTGCAGAACCCTGACTGGAAGAGAGAAACACAGCTCCAGGTATAAACACCTTAGCACTGCCTTGCCACCGTGTTCTGCAGCAGAGCTACAGGGACACCTGGCTGGCACTCCCCAGCCAACAGGAGAGTGACAACAGAACAGGGAAAGACAAATCAGCCAGACAGCAGAAGTTCAAATTAATGTTTAAATAGTCACGGTACAATAAATCACTATCATTACAGTATCTAACATGTTAAACAGGGTGAAAGTTTACACACCATCCAGTGTCTCACTGTAAATTAAAGTTGTAATGACGGGCCAGAGAGGACCAATCCTCTGAGGTGTGCAACCTGCCATACAACTGTCATTCAACCTGTCATTCAGTTCTGCATGTTACTTCAAAAATAGTTTAATACTACACTGCAAGGCCTGATGTCAATCTCTTGTGACAAACTATTCAGTTAAAAGTGTGTTAAGGGATACTCTAAAAATGAAGTTGTATTTACCACAGATGAGTTCCACTTGCTGGACTCTGTTCATACTGTTAAGGGTGTCCATTAAAGGATCTCTCCTCTCTGTCTCTTGGTCACTGGTACCCTTATTTTCATAAGCCAAGACAGTGTCACATTCGTCTGTCAGGAACTGGACTTCAAGCTCTGAATACATTTTCTGGAAAAGAAATTAAAATTTCCTTTTATGTGACAAAACTTCTCAGATGGAGGTGCTCTCCCCCAATCCTTGTTGTGTTCAGTATCACAAATAACAATAATAAAAATAATGTGAATCTGTATCCAGTGTTTCAGAATTTCCTCATAACTTCCAAGCAATACTGGATTAAAGCAGCAAAGAAAATACAACATTTAGAAGCCCTTTCCTGTTATATTAACTCCACAGGATTCAGTATGAATCTTTATGTGGAAATGAAGGGAGGTTTCAGCGTTAAGAATATTTACAAGAGTAAGAAAATTTAAGATTTTACCTAAACCTTCTCAATGACTGTCTGGGAGCTCCTCCCTGCCTGTCCCACATCTGTGATGGTAATGAAGAGAACATACATACCAAACAGTCTTCACAAGTGCATAATTTGCTCCTCCAGTTCGATGGCCAAAAGGTGGCAGTATCTTTTTTTACAAATGGCTTGCTTTGGAGCTCTTTCAGCTTGCAGACTCGCTCCTCGCTCTTAGCAACTACCTGAATTAAAATGAGAGTGTTCAGCATTCTATAATGTCACTTCAAAGAGACCCTGTTCTTTTTGGCATGTCCTTCTCCTTAGGAAAGAATTTTCTTTTGTCTCAAACAGATTCATTTTTATAAACAACCTATACTACCATCCACATGAGAATTCTGATGTGGTTTCAGCATTTTCCACAGGAAATTTCTGTATAAATTTACTGCAGTAACTGTAAGCTGGACCATCATGCAAGTGCAGGTACACCACGTATTGGAACAAACACAAGTCACCTCAGTGGCCAGGTGGCTGAGAGGAAGGGACAGATGTAGCCCATCTGCAAACAGACATTACACCTCCTGACATCCCTGTTCCACAGCTCACACTGTGCTCCACAGAGACCGCAGGTCTGAAAGGTCAGTGACTGAATAGGAACATGGGAAGAGACTGAACACACTCTGAGCCTGTACAGAGTGAGGAGGGCTTCACTTCAACTATCAGCAGCATGAAGATGTGCAGGTCAGAACAGAAGGTACATTTTACCTCAGGACAGGCAGACCTAGAGCTAGTGGATGGTTCATTGAATTGCTCCGATTGCTTTTCCTCCTTTGTGTCATGGTGTTCCACTCCACTTTCTTTTTTTATTTCTTTCTTCTGCTCTTCACTTTCCTCTACCTTCAGGACAACCCCTTCATCTTCAAGGGAGTTTGCTTTGGTCAAAGGAGGAACTGGAAGATGCATACCCACAAGTAAAAATACTGTGCCAGAAAAGGCCCAGGTCAATACAGTCATTTTCTCTGCTCCTCCTATTCTAAAACACTCTGCTTCCCAAAATCTAAGCCCTAGGAGAGGGAAGAGGGTATCACGATTTCAGAGTCCTTTACTAAGATATTTGTCCTTGACACCCCTTGCTAGCTACCCCAGTTTCAGTAACTGTCACGTGCTTTTTTGCTGACTGTGTTGGAGTTTCTAATTTTCTCCAAACACACCTCAAAATCACCACCACAGATTAACTATGCTAATCTCTTGTTTATTATTTGTTTGTTTTGATGCCAATTCAAGAATGTGCCCTGTGACAAAGCTGGTTAGAAGGAGGAAAACCAAAAACAGACAAACACCCTGTTCTGTACTATTTACATTAGAAAGAAAAGAACTCCAGGTGGCCATCCTTGAAAATACCATTGAAATTTTGTACACACAAGAAATCTATCATCAGCTGATACAAGCAGTATTTTTAGGAGACTATGGCAAACTGGTTCTTTCTACAGAAATCAAGTCATCTATTCTTTTATGTCCACAGAGCTGGTGTGACTGCAGGGAACGCATGTCCTGAGCACAGCCCCAGCCCCACCCAGATTAATGTTAAACATATTCATTTCAGGTCACTCTATCATTTGCTGCTCTTTGCTGCTCAGAGTGTCTGTAAGAACTGTTTGTTTCACTGCTTTCCTTAGGATGGTTCTTCAGTTCTTTGATCTAGCTTAGAAATTGAGTTCCTTGACTCAAGTATTAAATCTTCATCCATTTTGTGCTAGACATCTTTGATAAAGTAAATAAAAGCAAGCAGCACTGAATCAAGATTTAAGAATGGAAACTGCTTTTTTTTTTTACACAAGTTACTGCAACCCCACATGTTCCACTCCTGAAGGTGATTGTCCAAAACAATTAATGAGTATCATTTTTCCAACCACTTAAAACCAGTATTATGTCATTAACCAGCCATGTATGAGAAATACATGCTCACAAAATACTGGCTCAGATCCCTTAACTTTCTTTACCTGCTAATTGCGAAGCATAAGCCCATAGGAAACAGCAATGTTTCATGCAGGCCTGGCACACCATTTCATGGAAGTCTCCACTTTCAGGGGGTACTGCACCAAGATGCTGTCAGAAAGAAGCAAGCACACAGCAGAGAAGAATCTCTATTGATTACATACCGAACTTGAGAAGAATTCAGTCCCAAAGCTGTCCATAAAATGATGAGAACTATTTGGGCAATTAAAAGCACTTAGTGGCTTTCTTCTGAAAAAGCATTCCTGCAAAGCTCAGAGTATGCAGCACAACACTCTTCATTCATACACTGAACACAAAAGAAGCTTATCTACAAGAACCCATAATTGAAGCCAATTGTAATTTTTTTTACTCTTTGATCCTGCAACTTCAAGCATGGAATTTCACTTGTGCCCTTCAAGGCACAAGAGGCTGAATCCTTAATGTTTACCCATTAAGTAGGGCACCCACTACGGTGCTTGGCTGCTTTCAAAGGACTTCCCCAAAGTTTTAAATCAACAATGAACAGCACAGTCTGTTTCTTGCTACTTAAAGGAATTAAGAGGTTAAAATGCATTCTTTTGAAGGAAGAACTATTCAGGTAGTTGATAATGATGTGCCTCAGTAAGAATCTTTTTCTCACCAACTATACTGATTAGAGTTTTCTAATTAAAGAGACAGTTATAAAGTTATTACTTTATTCTGCAGTGGTAACCTTCAAAAAGCTAGGACTCTTCCCAGTATTTTTTAACTAGCGTGGACGCAGTCACCATCAAAGCTCCTCTGCATAAGCTGCAAACAGCCTTGGAACTCCTGTAATAACCCTACAGTTTTCAGAACTACAGCAAACTTCCTAAGAATTACCACACAAACCTAACCAACACCAACTTGATCCTGTGCAAATAGCAGTTCTGCTATTTATAGTTTCCTTACCCTGCCATGGAACCAGTCTTCACAAACGATGCATTGGATCATCTCATCTGGAATCTAGATGAACAATCATATTATTAGCATTAATAGCAACCTCCAGAATCTCTCACCAGTCTCAAACTGCAGTATCATGCAAATCCTGCTCAGTGAATTGCATTTCCCTCTTCACCCCTCACAGGAGCTGCCACTGATAAGTAGTTAGTGCTTTGTTAGTCAGTTTGCTTCCCTCAGGTTCAACAGCACATGTCATCTCTCATGTGACTGAGGCTGTGGAAATCCCATTTATTACTACAAAACCAGTCTTCCCAGCAGGGCAAGACTTTCTCACAGAAAGCTGATATATGTTAAAACACTACTGGTATCCTTCTTCCTATATGCAGAAATGCATGAACAGACAGCTCAGCAGAAGAAAGATACTGATATTCACACTGTCATCAGGTCACTGAAAGATGCCAGAACCAAACTTAACTGGTCACCACACAGGACAGTATGAAGTGCTTTGTTATGAAACAACTATTAATGATTTCTTCAGAAATGTTTTTAGCTGTCTCTGAACTTGAGACAGGAGAGCTTATAAAATACTTTCTTTTTTGTACTTGAAAGACTTGTGCTTTCCCTGTTCTTTAAAACACCTGATTGCTGTGACTGCAAACAACAGCACGCATGTGCAAATCCAGTGTGTGTGTTTGTGTGTTTCAGAGAGACAAAAAAGTGTTCTGGCTACCATCTAGGACTGTAGCTAGTGCTACAGGACAGGGCAGACTCTCCCCATCCCAGAAGCCTGGCCAGAGCATTGCTGCAGGCACAGGGAAGCACATTCTGGTCTTTCCTTACACGTGCAATGTGTTTATTCTGCACTGGGCCACGTTTCTCAAGGTTATGATAACCCTGTCCCCTAGGGAACTCTGCAACTTCAGGGAACTGCAGCACCATTTCGTCCTCCTGTCTCTAAGGCATAAACATACTTCACCATTAAAAAAAAAATATCAAGTAATTACTTCATACAACACATGAAAACCAATATGGAACATAAAATTTCTTGAAGTGGGATCTTCCTTGAAAAGCAGCTCAGTGACCAGCCTTTTCACAGTATCTACCATAAACACCATCTATATATGATTACTATTGCATTTTTTATTTCTTACCTCATCTTCAGGATCAGGGTAAGGTCTTTTACAAGTACAGTACAATCCATAGAAGTTGTCATTATATTTATTTCCTGAATTCACCTTGCTCTTTTCCTAGGAGAAAAGGGGGGAAAGTCTCAAAAGACAACACAGTAAAAAACAAAAGACAGTAAACAACAAAAGACAGCTGCTTCTGTTCCCCCTTAACTCCTAAAACCATCATTATTTCCATCAGCCTGAATATACAAAAAGATATTCTCCAAACACCTCTGCTTTACACTGAACAGCAGATAGGGCATGTGAGGAATGCTAAAATTCATACCTAAAAAGGAAAAGCAGTCTGCTCACCTTTATAACAAATGGCAACCGTGGTGTCAGACAGATTAATGGACAGATGCTGAAGCTTACTTAACCTGTACAAATTGAATTTTCACTGAACTGAAGCAGAAAGAACAACCACGTGATCCATTTCATTGCCTCACACGAGAAATGGTAACATAAAATTGTCACAGGTGTCTCTGTAGGGATTACTGCATCGTGACTTTGTTGACTGGCTCTGGATCCATTTCAATTCTCCCGGAACAAAATAGGTATACACAAAACCACTGTCTGTTTCAATGTTTGGACTGCTATTATCCTGGGAGCACCACTGCAAGCAAGCCAAGCAGCATTCTGTTGCTGCTTCCCAGAAGATTGAGACTGCCAGTTACTTGAAACGTTCAAAATGCCTAAGTAGAAAAGTATAGGTAGCTTAATACAGTAAAATACCATCCCGTCACTAAGTTCTGGTGACAAAATATAAGAGCACTGATGCCATCACAAAGAAGGAAAGGGAACAGTCCCTCTGACAGCAGCACAGCCTTAAACTGTCTTAGTGCAAGTGCAAAATTACATGCCAAAAGGTTATTCTGAAACAGCTTAAAGCTAATGAAATGTATTAGTGCAGAAACACCACAACTGCTTCTGGAAGTGTGCTGACCATGGATGCAGAACTGCTGCACTCCTGGATGACAAGGACCAAATATTCCTTCTCGTCCCAGCATTTCCTTTTGGTCCCTCAACAGTTTTATACCTTACTGTAATATTCCCACCTTTTTTAACTTCCTGGGACGACTGGAGGTGTCGCACGAGTCAGCACTGGCTGAGGGGAGGCACCAACCTCCCAAGACTCTTATTTTGCCTCGGAATGCCTGAAACCTGTCTGAAACTTACCGGGAATAACTTGCACTGCAGATTTTTGAACTTGCTATTTCCACAGTCACAGCGGAAATTCCTGGAAATAAAAACGTAGCGTTTCGGGGTTTATGTGAAGTGAGAACACGCTGGGTTTCGTATTCTTAACAATTCCCAGCAGTTTATCAGGAGCCCCGGGAGCCGTGAATCCCACACGGCGGGTCCCGCCCCTCCGGCCGTACCTCTTGGTGTAGAGCTCGAAGAGGCGGTGTGTGCCGTGGCACTCGTAGCTGCAGGCCAGGCAGATCCCCGCGGGCTCGGCGCCGGGCGGTGTGCAGGTGCTGCAGGCGTACAGCGCCTGCCGCTTCACCGCGCCCTGAGGGACACACCGTCAGGGGCGCGGGCAGGGGCGGGGCCGCCCCGCCCGTCCCGGGGCCCGTCCCCGTGCTCAGGCCCCGCCCCCGGCCTCCGAGGCTCCCGGCCCCGCCCCCACCTGAGAGTAACTGCAGCGTTCGTGGTCGCTGCCCCCCAGCACGGCCCGCGCTTCCTTCTCCAGCTCCTCGTTCTCCGCCAGCACCTCCGCCAGGGACACCACGGGTTCCTCCGCGCCGCTCCCGCCGCTCCCCGGCTCGGCGCCCTCCGAAGCCGCCGCCTCCATCGCCAGGACGCGGAGGCCGAGGAGCGCCAAGCGAGGCGGGAAACGCGGGGCAGAGGAGGCGCCAGGGGGCGCCACAGCGGAAGCGGAATCGGTCGCGCCCCACGTGACCGTGGGCGGTGTGTCCCCGCCGGGGGGGTTGGCCGGCGTGTGACGGGCGGGGCGGGCCCGCGAGCGGCGGGCGGTGATGGCGGAGCTGGCGGCCGAGGCGGAGCCGGGCCCGCGCCAGCGCCGGGATCTGGTGGCGGAGCTGCGGGACCGCGACGGGCGGACGCGGACGGTGCGGGTGCCGTACCCAGCGACGGAGGAGAGCGAGGCCGCCCAGCTGCGCGAGCTGCGGGGGGCGCTGCGCGAGCTGCAGGAGCGCGTGGCGGAGCTGCTGGCGCCGCTGGTGCAGGAGGAGCGGGCGGCGGGCGCGGCGCGGCGCGGTGAGTGCCGGCGGCGGGTGCGCCGAGGGGCCTCCGCCGGCCCCGGAGCGCCGCCCGCGGCCCGCATCGCTCACCGCGCCTGCCCGAACCTTGGCAGGTGGTGGCGGCGACGACGACGACGACTACTACTATGACGACGAGGAGGAAACGGTCGAAGACGAAAACAACGCGGACGCGGCGGCGAACGACGATGACCCTCCCGTGAAGCGGACGAAGGTGCGGCAGCCGTGAGGCCGAGCCTGAGCCCAGACAGGCTGTACCGACTGTAAGTGTCCCGGGCCCGCTGCACGGACCGGCTCCTGCGGCGCTGCTGCTCCTGTTTAAATGCGAAATGTCCATCCCAACGCTGTTTTAATACGGAAGCCTTTCCAAAAGGATGTGCCTGGTTGTGAGCAGCGTGTTGCTTACGGGGTGCCAGTGTTGCACTGACACCAGTCTTTTGGTAAACTAGTTGCTAAGTATAAACTTTTCTCCCAAATCTTCGGATTGGTATGTTTTTTAATAACTTATTCCAAGTCACAGTATTTCTTCATGTGACACCGCTTTTAAAATAAAGCAATAAAACCTGAAAAGAGTTATTTTGTCAGATATGATCTTTAAAAGTAGAAAACAGCTTGTGTTTGTATGGAGAAAAGGCAGTATAAGACCACTATAAGTATCAGAATTACAAGCATGTATAGGACTGTGCCCATTCCTGTACAGTTCTACAGTGGAAGATTGTTTTTGTCTATAATCCACAAGGTTTAGTCACCTATCAATCAAGAAGTTTCTGTGAACAGGTATAAAACACTCTTGAGTCACCCCATAGAGCCTAAAGCCTAAGAATGTTCTCTAGCAGATTTTAACTGCCTGAATGAATACTGTGAAAAGCATTTTGAGGGGTTATTTTCTTATGTTCTCCTGGCACAGTTTGTTTATATAATTATGGAAACTGAGCAATTCTTGAGACTTACATATATAAGACAAAGTATGGAAATAAATTAACTTTTATGAGGACAAAATTGTCTGTATTCATTTGAAATGCAAGGAAGAGCCAGAAATGATGTCCAGTAAATGTGTCCTTTGGCATTTATGTACTCAGATAGTCTAAGATACTCTGTTGGCAGATGGGATAGATGCATAACTGAAAAGACCAACTCAGGTTGTACACCTGTTTTCCCTTTTCCTCCAGACAAACCTTCCAGAAGTGGTATGAACTGTGTAATGGCTGAAAAGTAACATTTAACATTAGGCAAGAATTTGTGGCCTTTACCTATAGGCAGTGTAAACAGTCCACTGGCATGCCATGGACTGAAAATGTTTGGTCTAAAGCAACAGACCCTAACTTAGCACAGGAGTAAGTGCAGGTAACATTCCAGTAATGACATGCTTATTTTTTTTTCTGTCAGCCTGGACACAGGAACATGCTGCACCTGAGCTCCAGATAATACCAATGAGCATTGAATCAGAAACTAACACTCAAATTTCTGCCTTTAAAGAATCCTTGCTAGTCCTTGTAGCTACCAAAAATTGTAGCTACTGAAACTTTCAAATGACAAAAAGAGCACTGGAGCTTCAGGGGACTTTATGCAAGTCAAAGTTGTAGGTTTGCTTGTGGCAAAAGTGCCCTAACTCAACAGATTTAATTTTTCTGAGAACTACTGCAAGGTCACCAGGCACAGGAAGCTTTAGTGTGATGTGGTTCCCTACCCTCCCAATCCCCTACAGCTGTCTTCTGAATCCCATCTGGGGAGCCCCTAAGTCACTGTGGCCCTGAATTTCAGGCAGAGGAGGCAAGTCTCAATGGAAAAAAAGATGCTGTATTCTTCACCTCAGATGTAGTGCTTTTGTACCTCACCAACCTTCAAGGGGACACAGAATAAGCTCAGTTCACCACATCTGCACTGTTTGGTCCAGTCTGTATGTCTTACTAAGAGAACTTGGTTTTACTGGCCCAAGGGGGCTCAATGGATTTCCTCACTAAAGGGGAGAATGCTGGTATGTTTGTATGGAGTTAAAAGAGCTGATGTGGTACTAAATTCTTGGTAGTATTACATGACAACCAACTACTGTTACTAGTTACAAAACATTACAACAAAAATGTCAAAGCATGTCTCCTTCACAAAGATTGGGATTATATGATGTACTCTACTGTTACTGTTTTGAAATACTGAACTGCTGGTTCACAAAATTTGGGGCTTAATTCATGAAGGAATTTAACAGGTTGCATGGTTTTGTGTTAAAAAAAAAAGTTTTAAGTCTCAAGTATGCAAGGCACTCAGATAGTTCTGTGAGGGAGAGGAGGTAATCCCATTATACCCAGTAACTGGGGCATTGTCTAAAAGTGCAGTACCTCTCCTATCTCCCAGGAGAGGGATCCACAGTCACCATTTTCATTAAAGGATTTGAATGCCATTCACCTATGGCAGCCCATTTAATTCCCACTCACTCCATTTTAAAAGGTTACTTATCCACAAGCTATTATGAGTATCAGATCTCTGTAAAATACCCAGTAGTCTGGCAGCTGGGACATCATGGGGCCTGACTTGTGGGGACTAGGTTAGCACTCAGCAGTGTGAACACCTGAGCACTTCTGAGCACACACAAATGGACTGGACATGGGCCCTGAGGACCGAACTGAGCAGAAGTACCTTCTTATGGCTGTAGCATGTTCTTTCTTCCCAGAAGAAACTTGCACCATAAGGGTATCTTTAAGGAGAGCTAAGATAAGTCAGTTCTTAAAATTTAACTACATGATAAAACTATTAAACTGCTTTTGTGTATTAGTTCATTTGTATAAAAGTGGTTCTCATCAAAGACTGTGACATAAAAAGTAGGATTTTTTAAAAAATAGTAAGAGAAACTAGAGAGTATCCTTTTAAGAAAACAATGGACCAGGCAAGAGAAAATAAGGAGAGTTAATATGTAATACATTGCAACAACTGGAACATTTTGTTCCAGGAGTAAGTCGACCCTCAAATTTTTATTTAAAAAAGGTATCAAATTTGCAGTCCTATTTTGCTGCTGGAAAAAACATGTCATAAGGAACAATTTTATTGTAACTTACTTTTGTCCAAGTTTGAAGGGCTGCAGCCTCATGTTATGCTCTTCATTGGACCTGCTCCCCCATGGCAGGAAGTGAAGAACAGGCTCAGTAGCACTTAAAAATACGTGGCAGACACATTCCTGATATGGGAAGGGACTGTCAGGCAAAGGTCAAACAGTTAAAGAAACTAACACTGAGACTGCTCAAGTGATGTTCAAGCAGTCTGACAATGCTTTATCTTGTGACACAAATGAATAAAAAGAAAACCAGGGTAAATGGCATACAGATAATCATTAATCACCTTTGCATGACAGCTACTCACTTTGTTGGCAGAACATTAAAGCTCAGAATGTTGCAAAACTTCAAGCTTGATTATCCCAAAAGTTTGTAGATGTCATTTTGTTACAAGCAGGTCTTTGGTGACTCAGATAATCAGCCTTGATAATACCTATAAATTTTCAGAATAATCAAGCTGAAAGGTATTTCACTACTTTTATTTTTTTAATACTACAGTAAAAATCAATTTATCATTAATTTTTATGGTCTTTCCTTTATTTACCCTGTCAGTAAAATTTCACCTGTTGATGTTCCCCTGGGGTCAAAAATGCTGGAAGCACCAGCAGAGTTAACGTAGCTCTTCTCCTATTCCCATTGTCTAATATTTGTATACACTATGCTAATAGTTCTCCACTGCTGCTTTCCACTTCAAGCTCAAATCCCCCCACACATAGCATTTGCTTGAATTAGACTGTGTGTTCTTCTGTAGTTAGTTGCAAAGCACATGCCTGTCAACAGCTGGAATCCAAAGCTAGGCTTCTGATGGAAAAGTCTATGAACACGAGTCTCCATTCTGCAGGTCCCTGCCCAGCACATGCTCCACATCCAGACAGCTTGGCTCATCCCACCAGGCCTGCTAGTGAGTTTGCTAAGGGTCATATGCTTGCATGACAGAAAATTAGGTAGTTCTTACTATCATTTTCTATTTTTATGCTTCCTCTTATGCGCTTGGCTCTTTAAATAATTCCATCTGTATATAATGTTTAGTTTGCATAACTGCTCAGTTTAAAACTACAGCATCAAGTTTAAAACAGTCCAGCCAGAGGTACCTCTCTGACACAAAAGTAAAGAATGGGATTCGGTTTCATCCAGCAAGCCCCAAAATTTCAGCCTACAAACAACAAATTAGGGCACAGAGCATAAGAGGACAACAAAAGATGACCTGAACACCACACACCAAGGGAAAGGCATGAGCACAGGCTACAGAAATTGACAGGCAGCAATGCTGTCTGGCACCAGACACGCAAAAACCCCCACTAAACCAAAAACAACAGAAAGGAAAAGCTATTGATAAGTATCTGCATTAATAGACTTGTGTTTATAAACATTGAAAAGTTTTTATTTTATAGATAAATAGCATGGTGATTTTCAAAGTTGAGAAACAACACAACTTAAAAGCTCTGACTCCCCAAGACACTAACTACTCGTCAGAGTTTATAATTTACTCCAGCACACCAAGATGGCAGCTTCCTCATTTTCATATTGCACTTAGAACTTAAACCCTTCTTACAAAGGCTACATTGTTTTCAGGTCCTAGCACCAATGCTGACAATTGAAACCAGTGTCTCAAAGTATCTCCAAGTGCAAACAGAAAGTTTCAGGTGTTGGAACTTCAAGGCTTAAACACAGCAACAGTGAAAATAGTGTTCTCTTTCCAAAGCAAGAGAAAGACGGCACTCTCCAGGATTCCCTTAAAGCAGTCAGAAATGGATTAGCATTTGTGATGATTAGGTATGGATAATCACATACAGTTGAAGTTACAGTCAAGGAGATTAGCTCATAATTCTTTTGAGCCTACTTCTGAGAAGTGTATTTTGCACTGTTTCCATATTTGTTATTTCCATCATGCCTGGGACAAAAATTTAGTTCTCAGAAGAAACAAAAATGGACAGAGAAAGAATAGATTCAGTCTTATTCAAAATATGCTATTCCAAAATAGCACTGAAAAATAGAGGTTGAAACTATGGCAAAAAAATCTCCACGGAATTTCAGTATGACTGAAGAAATTTGCACTCATTACAAGAATGATAAGAAGGTACCTTACTTCTTTGAATTTCTGGAAGAAACATGATTATCTGTCTTACAACCTGTTAGTTGCATCCCCCAACCAGTTAACTTTCCCAAATTCAAAGCTTTTCCTAATATATCCGTTCTCTTGGAACACGGTTTTGCGTGATGTCTGGAGTGAAATTAGAATGGTCATAAATTTCAGTAACTTATAATTTTATCAAGCAAGATGATAGGAGAAGGAAACACAAAAACTTTTGTGCAGACTACAGACTAATGCCAGCATAGGCTGCTTTTGATGTCATAGGAGCAGTTTAAAACATCAAGCTCCAGGCCTGTGGCACTCCTCACTGCCTGCCTACTAGTGTGGGACTGTTGTGACTGAAAACAAGTAGGCTACCACAGAAAAAAATGTACTTTTTCCCTTTAATGGTTTGCACAAACTTTATTCTTTGCTTCCTGTTTTTGTATTGAAACTTGTTTTTAAAAATTCATTAAAAACAGCACTGATGTAGATAATAAAAAAAAAAAAAAGAAAAAGCAAAGAATTGTGTTAAGTGCAGCTTTTATAATCACATTCTTAATCTTTTTTTTTCCTTTTACATTTACCACAAAAGAAGTATCTTTTCATTGATTTCACTCCAAGGGAAAACATAGGAAATCACTTTTTTGCACAGAGGAGTAAAGTTGTGGACCAGAAACTTGTTTCCCCACAGGACCTTTCAGATGGAGAGTTGCAATTTTGCATCTTTAAGGCAAAATGATGAATACTTCCATCACATGTCACACAGGTCTCTTCCACTCTGGCCACTCAATAATCCATAATTAAAAACCTTTGTAGTTACTCGTTTGTTTTAAATAGAAAACAGTCTCTCTCTTCATTGCTTATCAGTTTGACAGAAAAGGCTCTTTCCGGCCTTCACTCAGAACTTCAGTCTTGTGATTAGATCAATGATATGCAATTGCTTCAAATCAGCAACAGAAACTAGAAGTTGAGCTAAGTGTCAATTAGTTGTAATCTACTGATCTGATTAGAGGCCTTCACAAATGTTTGGTGACGATTGCAAATAACAGCCAAGCAGATAGGAATGATGCAATACCCAACAGTTTTGGGGTCAGCTCTTGTACAGGAATAGAGGAACAAGAACATCTGTAAGTATGGTATTAAAAATATTATCGTCCACAGCCAAAACGGCAAGGATAGCAGTCGTACTTTTAAGGAGTGTGTCCATGTGGTTCCTTCCTGTGGTTCCTTGGGGTGTTGCTGAATGTGCTCCAGTGCTAGTTTGTTGTAAGTCTCATTGATTTCAAAGACGTAATAAAAAGCTGCAGCACTTGCTAACAAGTACAGCCCCACACCAATCCAGCCCATCCTCTGGCGGAAGTTCATCATTCTCCATGCTCTGCACCTGAAACAAAAGGTGACACAAACATTCAGTACAGCTTGGAAAGAGGGAATAGATGAACCTTGGTTTTCATAAGTTAACTTTCTGTAACTTTACATTACACATTAGTTAAAACACGCACATCAGTTTCTGAAGACCTGAAGTTTTCTCTACATCATAGAAAAGCACTACTCTGCCAGCAACAGGTTAATGGCAACAACAAAAGAAGCTCCACTGATGGCCCTGGATAGCTTAGGGCCTGCTGGCTATCAGGATATGCCTGCCTTAAGTCAGGTACTCAGGGAATAAAACAAAAGTCATCAGCTGGGTAACTTACTTACCCCATCTGCCCTCAATGTCTCTAGACATAGAGATAATGTAAGATTTTCTATAAATATGTAAAATTTGGAAAGTTCTTTGATGCCTGCAAGACAAAGATACTGCAACATCCACTTGTATTAAGCTGTAGCTGAGTGCCCATTTATGAACCACAGAAAGGGATGTTTCCAATTTGAACATGATGTTCAAGGGTTAGTCTGTACTGAAGGTATGTACATGTACAAATTATTGGAGCCCCACAGACACTATTGGGCTCAATTTGAGCTGCTTCAAATCTCCAGCTGGCTGCATGGGTCTAGGTGACTGGAAACACTCTTCAAACCAGTCACAAACACTTCAGCTGGAGTACCTCCACACAAATGAAGTCATCACCTCTTCCCCTCCAAACAGCCCTTGCACAGGGGAGGGAGAAACACTGCTTCACTGCACCTGATTAGGGTCCTCAAAAAAAAAAAAAAGCTTTTTCAGACCTCTAGGCTTTTACCTTTCATACCTTTTCCTACAAAGGGGTGAAATCCACCTATGTAGTGCTGTTTTAAGAAAACATATTAGGACTTTAAAATATCAGGCAGAAATGCTTATTAAAAATGAATTATGCATAGGAAACAGAAGCAATTCATGGACGCGTTAGAGAATTTACCATAAATGACACAAAGTCATTACACCATTCTAAAACACCCTTTCTGAGCCAGACTAATCTGCCAATTTCGTTGGCAATCCTACTTCCTGGTTTTACATAAGAAAGATACCCTCAATTCTGACATGACAGAATCTGATCAAGGCAGCCCTAGAGAAATTGTTCTGGCCCTCAGACTCCTGCATTCATGCTGGCCAAAAGAATCACACATACAGGAACATAAATACCTGAGAAGGAACAGTAAATACCCGTAAAGAACAGTAAATACTTGAGAGAGCTATTGCAGACTTAAGTAATGCCAACTTCTCGTTCAGCTGATCCTCCTATATAACTCAGCTGCACGTTTCCCCTTATTACCCGAGTCAATAGGTTTAGTGGGACAACTGAAAAATTATTGAAAATAACCGTTAATCTACAGGGTAAGAACTTGAACCCCAAGTCTTCGTTTACCCGCTAAATAAGCCGCTGGCTGTTTTTCCTAGCAGTTCGGCATATCCGAGCTGGCTCACGAGTTGTCACATTCGAGGAAAATAAACCGTCACAAGGTATGTACATACCGAAAACACAAACACTTTCAAAACAGCAACAGATTTAAGAAGGTAAACATCAGCGCGCTTTGATCCTGCCCTTGAGCAGCAGCCAGAAGAGGAGCCTTAGCTCCCGGTTATATCGAAAGAGGCGGAGGTAACAGGGTCTTCTCATTGTTATTCTCCGTTCTCAGACCCAAGTCCAGCTGGCAGCTTTTGGGCACACCCGCGATGGCTCTCGGAGCCCTTCATCCCACCAGGGCTCTCGGAGCCCTTCATCCCACCAGGGCTCTCGTCCGGCGACCCCCCGCGCTCACCGCCCGCCGGACCCGCGCTCCGGGCGAGACGCGCTTCGCCACTACGGGTCCTTCTCGGCGCCGGCAGCTACTTACGTTCCTCCGGCGGAGAAGGAGGGAGCGGGAGGGCGGCGGCGGGCGGCCCGCTCCCCTCAGCCCGCGCCGCGGCGCCGGGAGGCGGCGAGTCCCGCGGGCCCGCCCCGCTGCCCGCCCGCCGCCATGGCCGCCCGCCGGCACCGCCACTTCCGGCACGGGCCGACGGCTGCCGGGGCGCGCGGCCGCATCCGGGGCGGGCGCCTTGGCCGGCGGCCATCTTGGCTCGGGCGCGCGCCCCTCTGCGGCCGGTGTGGCCGCGCCCAAAATGGCGGCGCCGCCCTGAGGCGGTGCTCAGCTCCTCCGCCGGGGACAGACCCGCGGCGTTGTGTGCTGGCACGGTGGAAGGGACAACAAAGATTACCGAGGAAGTTTCAATGGAGACTGAAACAGTCCGGCAAATGGCAAACGTGTAGTCCAACCCCAGTATATGCTTATACATAAACATGACGTAGTGGATTATTTCTATTAAATTAAATTATCAGTTGATATTATATGCTTATTATCCCATGACAACGGGGGTTAGGATCAGGTGATCTTTAAGGTCCATAGGTTTCTATGATCTACTGGGGAAAAGCTTTTAATGATGCTAAAATATTGTTTAAGTTGACAGCAAAATGATATGGTCAGGTGTGTGCTATTCAATGGCGGTGATGATTTTGGGAGAGTTTGTGCCGAACATGTTTGCCTGAGTTCAGGAACTGTGAGGTGAGCTCTGTGCCAAAACTGCATCACGTCACATATGAAGTGACACCTGTTACTAAATTGTATCCTCAAGTCATGAGAAAACTATCCTTTCTTATTTAGAAAGCACCAGGGGCCACAATTCGCTCTCATGCAGCTGTCATTAAGAGGGAGACTAAAAAAGGATTTTAAAATTAATGCCCAATAAAAAATGAAAGACGCTAAAGCAATGACCTTTCTTTGTTTATCTCTAAATACATAGGATCTTCTGCCAATTTTCTTGGGGATGTAGTAGGTGCATGTGACACAGTATATAAGAGCTGCGAAATCAAATCTGTGGTGGCTTATCCTATGTTTGGTGTTTCAATGAAAAGCATCAGAAGCTAATGTTTTGGATTGTAGTCAAGACAGCTGATGAAAAAATGCACAGAGCTGCAGATATCAATTGAGAAAAGGGACACTTGAGAGCCCAAAAGAGTCAGAAATACAAATCCTCTGTCATAGAACAACTTTAAATTAAGTCGTACTGTTTTGGATTTTGGTTTTTTTTTTTTTTTTTTGTTGTTTTGTTTTGGTGGTGTTGTTGGTTGGTTGGGGTTTTTTGTTTTATTTGTTTGTGTGGGAGGTTTTGTTGTTTTTTTTTTTTTTTTAATTATTATTATTGCTTTAATGCTCATTGAAGGCCCAAAAGTGACACAAGATGGCGCCCAGAACCACAGAGCCATCCTGACTCCCACGTCAGAGATTTTACACTTCAGTTGAATGAAAATATCTTTCCTGAAGTTTAAATAAACCATTAGTGTCGTTCTGATGACAGATGTAGATATGAATAGCTAAATACAGCTAATTATCCCTGGGACACTTCTCTCAAGTAAATGCCATTCTTTCATTTCTTTCAGGTGGTGAAGTCCCTGTTGATCTAAAAGTGAATAAAGCTCCTGTGTGGCTCACAGACCTTCCACTCAAGCGTGGCTATATTGCGTTTTCTTATATTGAGGTTAGAGGTAATGATGAACCATTTTATTTTAAAATACCAACCTAGATGTCAAATAGAAGGTTTCCAGTATGAATTAGTATGTGACTGTACAAATGTATGGCTTGGCAGTGGATACGTGTGCTAAGTGCAAAGCCTGCATTTGCACTTAAAATTCTGAAGAAAAATCAGTGAATTGTGGACCTTATTCCTACTTAAGAAGCCTGGCTTTTCTCTGAATGGTTGGAGTTGGAAAGAGAGGATGGCTTAGGATTTAACCTGCTTGTAAATCAGGTAGGTTAAAAGGCTCAACCAAGGGTCTTTTGTGATAAACATAGAGCCTGAGATTGTGGCTATAAAGAGAAGGACTTAAAAATTTTGAAGAGTTATAACAATCACAAGCTGCCTTGGAAAGCTAAGGCGTAGCACCAGACAGAGTGATTTGTAGTATATTTGGGCTAGATCTCAATCTGCATAAATTTCAGTGTTATGCTTAATCTCTGCCATAGTAAAGGAAGGGACAGAGCAAATAACTGAGGGTTTGTTGGTTGGTTAATTTTAGCAGCAGCCTATGAGGGGGGAGGGAATAATACCAAAATTAGTAGAACAAGAAGCAACTGTTCTTAGCTTTAGGCAAATTCCAGTCACAAGTGCTGGTAATAATGAGGGGAAAGAAGTCATAACTCTGCATATTGAAATGACAACATACACCTAGTGAGACTCAAAAGGGTAATATTCAGCTTGGGAAAACCAAAGGAGAAGATAGAAGTCTGCTGAATCCAAAGGAAGTAATATTTAATGAACAGAATCAGAGAATTAAGAATGGGATTTTGTAGCATTAAAAAAAGAAGTGTTTGACCTAGTTTTCACATGCGTTGTATTTTTACAGAAATATTTGGTTTATTTTGAAGGTAAAGCAGAAAAACAATGGAACAGCAAGAGCTGGCTGCTCCACAGAGGGCAAGAGCCAAGCATAACAACACAGGCCAGAGCCTCACTGCCCAAGCCCAGTCCCACAGAGCCTGAGCAAGGCAAGCAGGGAGCACTGGATTCAGCCAGGAGTACAGAGCATCAGACAAGTAACAAGGCAGGCCCATGGTCAAGATGTGAAGGCAGCCCATAGGGTAGGTTCAGATCCAGTGAGAACTAGGGTCAGACATCACCTAGCAATTGCCATGAAGGTCCATACTGATAAGAAAAGACTGAGGTCAAGCTAGGAAGTCAGTCTGTGACTCCAAATCCAAATAAATATGGCTTGGCACAGTCATGGCTGAGCTGTGGACACATAGTGATACAGGTCAGGCATGAACTGAAAGCACAGGGCTTAGATAAACTGGGGCTCCTGAGCCCATGGGAGGGGTCAGGGGAGGATTGTTGGGGCTATTAAGGCCTGTTAGGGTGCTCAGGATCCTGACAAACTACATATGAAAAATGAGGGTTGACAAGAGGAATCAGAAGGGTTAGTTGTAATCATTAAGTCAAACAAAGTTTTCATAACTCAGTTTTAATATAAAGTCTCTCCTAGGCTTAGATGTTGGCCAAAATAGAAATACAAAGATAAAATACCCGAGATGATTACAAAACCAAAAGCAGTTGGCCTTCTAAATGGAAGGCAGAAGCTGAAAGATAAAATGCATCTTGCATCCTTTTGGGTGAATATTATGTTTATATTTAGCAGAGTTGTAGTAGGTTCTCACTGACAAGTGATCAAGAAGTGAGAATCTTATAACAGAGACATTTCTGTCAAGATGGCGTTTGCTTTCCACTTGCAGGACACTGATTTTTGATTCGTCTAGAACATCACATTCCTGGATCTTTTCCTTCTTAATCCTAACTCTAAACCTAACTTTTGGCTAGAAAATGGGGATCCTTACAGACTGCATATATGTTGGGATTCCAATGAGAAAACTCATGTGAATTTTTATCAGTGAGTGCATAAATGCCCAGTGTTTCTGCAACTTGTAGTGGTTTTATTTATTAGATGTAGTTACAGTGAATTTTGTAGTATCCTGTTGTGGTGTAATAAGTTGTTTTTATCAGTTTCTTATAATTTAGTGTGAGTAAAGAACATTAGTTTGCTTCAATTAATATGTTTTATGTTTTATGAATCTTTAGATTGTGTTTTAGAACTTTTGTTTATTCCGAAAATAAGGCTATGATCTTCTGATTCCCTTTTTTCCTTGGGTTGTTGTTTTGTCTGTACTGCTATCTTTCTTTGAACTTTTTTGTTGGAGACAGCTGTTTTCTTGTAGAGTGTAGCACATTCATTTGGGAACATGCAAGAAACTTTTCTACAGGATTGAATTTTTATATTTTTTTTTTTTCTCATTTTAAATTGAAATAGTATATTTGCTTGGTTTGCTTGCTATATTAACCTCATGAAGAAGAGCTATTCAGTGAGCTGAATGGTGGTCTTTATCACTTTTGACTTAATTTGTATACTTTGAATTTTTGGGACCTTAAATTACCTTAGTCTTAAATTCTCAGTTCCTGAAATTCTGCTTCTACCGTTTATTTTTTGGCAGCAGCCACATCTGAGTTAAGCTTCAGGCAATCATGTTATCCAGGTTCTTTGAATACCATCCATACTTTCTTCTTAGTTGTAGAAATATTTATCATCTTTCCAACAAACTATTTGATATTTACAAATGGAATAGCTATCTCATTCTCTCAAACATCCACAGTAAACATCTGCCAAAGGAAGAATTACACATCACTATGCTTTGTCAAAGTGCAGAGTCTTTTATGAAGAAGGGCCTTGGTATTTTAGACAGAACTCTTCCCTACACTGATGCTCCTTGTCCATTATTTACCTCTGAATGTACCCCTCATGGCTGCATTGTCTGTGGTAAAACTATTCCGGCAGGAAAGAGATAAAATCTTTGCTTTTACATTCTCCTTTTCAGCCAATTACAAAGTGGCTTCAAAATTGAGCAAGAACTGACAAAACATACTGAAAGGATATGGGCAGAGGTGCCTGGTAACTGACTATTCCTCTCCGTGGCATTTATTCAAACAGAGGACAAATACAATTTATACAGAAGCAGTGCAGATATTGATCTCACAGCTCCAGTGATATGACCCAGCATTGTACTGGCCTTGGAGGAAAGAGAACTTTCCTGCAGAATTTTTGTCAAACCAGTTTACAGTTATAAATTGCATTTCAACAAAACCATTATTCATTACAATTTATTGTTTTTAATTAAATCCCCACAAATAATATAAAAAACCACCCCAAGTCTAGCTGCCATTAAGCTCCTGAGAATTCTGCTTTTCCATGTTTTCAACTTAAGTCAGCTCATATTGCCAGAAAGGAACAGTTATTAAATTTCCATGTTGAATTTGCTGCAGTCAATATGTTTGATCATATAAACAAGTTAACTGAAAAATGACCCATGTTAAAAAGAAAAACAGAATCCTTCTTCTGTCCATATAGACAGTCCAAAAGAAACATCTGACCATCTCAGAGAGTGACTGCTCCATTCTCACAAGAGGAGTGATCTTTTTTTAAATTACCACTAATTATCTCTCCTTCAGTGGTGCTTATGTGAAGCAAGTTGGTAATACCATAGAATTATTTTAAATATATTTAGTTATTGCCTCTTCTGAGATTCCCAGTTTCCAGTGTGTACCTGTCTTGCTCTAGACTGTAAACTGTATGCAGCAGGGAGTATCTATATTTAGATTTTCCAGAAACATAACTTTCTTTCACTAAACAAATAGTGAAAGATCTTAGTTCAGATCAGGCCTTTTCCCAAATTCAAAGAATCCCAATATTTTTGCATAGACTGGATGGAGGTTTGGAGGAGGTAGACAGCATATTAAGATTTGCAGAATCTAACCTGTCAAGAACAAGAACAAAGACCAAACCAACAAAACAGCAAACCAAAACCAAACAAACAAAAACAAAACAAAACAAAAAAAAAAACACCTCAAAACCCCAACAAAACCAAACCAACCAACCAAAAAGAACTTCATGTGTTTGTCTTTTAGGAACCTCTTGCCTCTACCCATAGTTACTAACATTAAAATGTTAGTGTATGCAAGAGGCATATGTGTAAGATATCCACCCATATAATGTGATAGGTTGATAGGTTCTTAGTCACAGAAATCTGCATAGATGATGAAAGAACAGAACTCGTCTGAGGCAATGGGGAATCACTGTCAGAGGTAGGCTGAATGACAGAAGTTCCTGATGGTTTACCCAAGCTCCAGACTTGTAAAGCACCTCGTTTCTCATTGAAGTGCTCGATGTCGGCTCAGCTGTCACACGTGCACACTGTCAGTCCAACTGAGAGACCAGTGTGAGAGGGGAGGCTTTCATACATATGTCAGCAACTGGAAGTAAATCTTCATCCTCAGCTGTAAGGAGGGCTCCTGTTGTTGCCCTGTTGTTTAGTGAAAGGTAAAAGTCTGTTCACTGTAGCTGTGAAGCTTCTAAGTACTCACCTAGCCTTACACCTGAATTTGCCTTTTTCTGAAGCCCATGCTAGAGGTCTATACCAGAAATCAGCACAGAGATCCAGAATGATTCGAACATTTGAACAGAGGTATTAACAGTAGTTGATGGTTACTCTCAAAGGGAAAATTTCAATAATTTATGAGTAAGTAAATATTTACATTTAATTTAACAAAAGCACATTAAGCAGTATTTACAAATTTTTAAAGCAAAAGTCATTATGTTTTTTCCTTACTGTGCAGAATTTTTAAGCTGCTGCTCTGTGCTATATAAAATGAAATTTCAGTAATGCCTACTGTCATACTCTGTCATATAATTCCAAATTAATATTTAAATGTCTCCAGCTTAGCACGTTTATTACTGCATTTGTTGGAATTTTTAAAGAGGGGAAATGTCCATGTCTCCACAAAAATGTATGTTTGGTTTGCCTTACACCAACATAACGTAAACAGAGTCATCATAAAAACATGAAGGTGCTGGGAGAGTAAAGAAATACTCTGCTATGAAACTGTAACAAGTCTAAGTACATCCAAGTCATCACCTTCTCCACATGAAAAAGTACCTGGCTTGAATTAGTGTGTAACTGTAGGTGCATTTCTGCACTGCTTTGTTTAATAGGAGTTAGAGCACCTCCATTCTAAAATGATGCCTCTACATAGTGCAGAACTGTTACCAGTTGAAGTGTTTCACCAGTGAATCCAGTGCATAAATGATGTTGCAATGGATTGTGATGCACACTTAAATCTATCCTGATCTGGGTGTTGAAGCAGAGGTTACCATTTCAATTTTTTTTCATCTTCTTTTCTGTCAATCTTTTTTCACTAGCTAGAAACTATGATTCTCAGGTTGTTGCAAGTTTCAAGGTGCTAGTTCTAAGTGCTCTGGCAAAACAGCCTCTGAAGCAATGGAAAATCTTTAGCTTGGTAAAATTAGGCAGCCTGATACTTTTCTGGAGTGGCCTCACACAGTGAAAATGCTTAGAGACTTGGTTAGCCAGCACTGCATTGGTGGGTGAGAACAGCCACCCTAACCCAGGAGGATCAGAAAGATCAGTAGAACAGAAGGGGTAGATGCTCCTTCTCTGGAAATCTGCACAAATAAGGCCCCCAAACCCCCACCAATGTTAGCCAGCAATGCAAGAGTTTTGTAACTGAAGAAAAGTCTGCGACAGCTGCAAGTTCTCTTTTCCCCAGCTGTGTGGAATGATAGTAAACCAGTCATTTGGGGCTATTGTCATTGATAGCAAGTGGACATGATTAGCAAAGAGGAGTTCAGGTTTGAATTCTCTCAAGATTGAGTAGGTGAGATCCTTTGACAAGACCTACATGCCTATTATTCTTCCCCCCCCCCCCCCCCCCCCCCCCCCCCAATCCAGGCTTCATCATCTTCAGATGTCCTACAAATTGTGGCTGGTCCTTCTGACAGATTCTTTTGGTTTTGTAGAGTAGCCAAAATCTAACCTGAAAGCACTATCAACTTTACCCTCAAGACATCTGCGCTAACTTCTAATTCTCTGGCTTATAAAGCCATTTTCTTGAGAGAACTCTATAGTCCAAGTGGCTGAAAAATTACTTAAGTGCATGTAACACTTTTATGACAGCTCCTTGGCACATCCTGAGGCCTCTGCCATCTAAATGGTGGCATGAGCCCTTTCCTCTGGTTTAGGGTGTTCCTCAACCTCTCTGATTTCTCCTAGCAGGCCTCCATGTAAAAAAGAATCCCACTTCATAGGCTTGGTGTAAATGGAGCAGAAATAACCACTACACAAAATGCTGAGAGTTCAAGAGGAACATTCTTCTAATTTGTCCTCCATCTGATTTGTTTAGCTTGTTTTCACAAATTAATAAAAGAAGGAGTGTGTATGTATCTGTATTTATTGCACAATTTCAAAAACAAGTACACAGACCTCTTTTGGACATTGAACTTCTGTATGTATTGGGACAGTTGTCACGTGGGTAATGGAAATTGGGTTCTGATGAAGACAATACGTACAATGTTAGCTCATCCCTTATCAAACAATGGGAATCTTCATAAGCACGGGTTCAGACAAACTTTGCATCCATGTGAAAAGCTTTCTTCAGAGGTTACACCAGAAAACTGAGGCTTAAAGCAAGCAGCCTTCATCTGTTTAGTCACTAACATTCCTTCCCCTCTCCAGAAGCCCTGAGAGAAGGGAAAGTCCTAAAGGGCAGTATTGGCATTTTATGTTGAACTATAAAGGCTGCTCTTGTGCATGTGGTACATTAATATGAAGCACAGAAGTGGCCTGTTCAGAACTACCAGGAATATTTGCTGTGATCCTGCCTATGAAAGTGTCCCTTTTAGCTGTCAGAAAAGTGACTGGGAAGTAATACCTGTGCAGACAGCTTCAAAATGACACTCTGGGATTGTAACAAGTCCCACATTCAGATGTGATCATTGCCTAAGCTTTATTTACAGACTGTCAGGCACTGAATATGTGAGATAATAAATTTAATAGCACAGTGATACAACAAGTAATAATGGAATTTATCATCTATGCAACTACAAGTGTCTTACAGGATCTAGGCAATCTGAAATATCTGAATGCTTGTGATTCTAAATGAGCTATCTATTTCACTTTGCAAGCCTGAGCATCTAGTAAAT